TAATGCTTACCAAACAAGTGAAAGACTCTTGTGGCTCTAAAGAAAGTGGATCTAAAGAAAGAAATTAAAGAAGATACCAGAAAATGGAAAGATCTCCCATGCTCTTGGATAGGTAGGATAAATATAGTAAAAATGGCAATTTTTCCAAAAGCAATCTACAGATTCAATGCAATCCCCATTAAAATCCCACCACAATTCTTCACTGGACCTTGAAAGGATAATAATCAACTTTATATGGAAAAGCAAAAGACCCAGGATAGCCAAAACAACCCTGTACAATAAAAGAACTTCAGGAGGCATCACCATCTCAGACTTTAAACTCTACTACAGAGTTATAGTTCTGAAAACAGCCTGGTATTGGCACAAAAATATACAGGTAGACCAATGGAATAGAATTGAAAATCCTGATATTAACCCACACACCTATGAACACCTGATTTTCGACAAAACAGCTAAAAGAACCATGGGGGGGGGGGATGAAAACATCTTCAACAAATGGTGCTGGCACAATTGGATGAAGGTGTGTCAAAGACCACAGATAGATCCATGTCTATTGCCATGCACAAAACTCAAGTCCAAATGGATCAAAGACATCAACATCAATCCAGCCACATTGAACCTCTTAGAAGAGAAAGTAGGAGGTACCCTTGAACAAATTGGTATAGGAGATTGCTTCCTGAACATAACTGCAGGAGCACAGACACTGAGATCAACAATTAATAAATGGGACTTCCTCAAACTTAGAAGCTTCTGTAAGGCAATGTACACAGTGGACAAAACCAAACGGCAACCACAGACTGGGAAAAAATTTTCAACAATCCTACATATGACAAAGGGCTGATCTCCAAAATATACAAACAACTCAAGAAAATAGTCATCAAAGCACCAAATAACCCTATTAAAAATGGGGTACAGAACTGAAGAAAGAATTTGCAATTGAGCACTTAAGAAAGTGCTCAACATCTTTAGCTATCTGGGAATTGCAAATCAAAACAACTCTGAGATACCATCTTACTCCTGCCAGAATGGCTAAAATTAGAAACACCAATGATAACTCATGCTGGAGAGGATGTGGAGAAAGGGGAAGATTCCTCCACTGCTGGTCGGAGTGCAAATTCATACAGCCATTTTGGAGATCAGTTATGGTGGTTCCTCAGGAAAATGGGAATTAGTTTACCACAGGACCTGGCAATCCCCATCTTAGGCATATACCCAAATGATCTACATCCATGCAACAAAGACATGTGCGTAACTACGTTCATAGCAGCATTATTTGTAATAGCAAGAACCTGGAAGCAACCTAGATGCCCCTCAACAAAGAATGGATAAAGAAGATGTGGCACATCTACACAATGGAATACTACTCTGCAGAAAAAAATAATGGAATCTTTAAATTCGCAGTCAAGTGGATGGAACTTGAAGAAACCATCCTGCATGAGGTAACCCAGTCACAAAAAGAACAACATGGTATGTACTCACTCATATATGGATTTTAGACCTAGAGCAAAGCATCACCAGCCTTTAATTCACACCACCAGAGGAACTATGATACAAGGTGTAATCTAAGAGATTCATATAAATTCCCTCACAGAAGTGGATAGGGACAATTCCCTAGAGCACATGGGAAGTGGGGGTACAGTGAATGTAGAGGGAAGCAGGAGAAAGAGAAGGGGAGGAGAGGAAAGCACGTGTGACTAGGAAGATTGAGTCAGATAGGAATAGAAGGCCAGAGAGGGTGGGAGGAAGGAGGGAGGGAGAGGGAGGGAGAGAGAGAGAATGAACATAAAAGAGGAGCCCTTATTGGTTTTAAGAGAAAACTGAACCTAAATAAAAGTCTAGACACCTACAAGACTGCCGCCAACTACAATTTGAGCAACAGTGGCAAGGCCCATTCCCGGATAGCGAGAGCAGCAACTAACTTGTCCATTATCATGGAGCCCTGATCTAGTACCTGTTGGAAACAGAAGCAAACACCGTTAACTAAACACTGAGCCAAACTAGAACCAGATACAGAGGGAGAGGACAAGACCAGGTTGCAGAAACACATAGAGACAGCTGACCTGAACACGGAGAAGCTAATGGGCCCCAGGCTGATAGGTGGGAATCCATCATGGGACTGACTCAAGCTCCCTGAATATGGATCTCAGCCAGAAGTACTGAGCAGTCTAAGGTACCCAGGATTTATTCCTGGTGCACATAAGGACCTTGTGGACACATCCCCATGGAGGGACACTCCCTTAACCTAGAGACAGGAGAGAAATCCCAGTCCCTACTTCAAATGACTTGACAGATTTACTTGACTCAACCTAGATGGCATTACTCTATATGTGAAATTGGGGTTGGGGGATGGGAAAGGAGGGTGGTTAGGGTGCATGTAATGGGGAAGAGAGGGTATGAGGGAGGGAGAGGAAACTGGGATCGACATGTAAAATAAAAAATATAAATAATAATATTAATAATAAAAACAATAGAAAGGAAAATCCATGTGGGGTTCTGAATGACTTCATGTTTAGCATATCAGGAAAAAGGGAAGTGAAGTGTGAAGGGCGGACCATATTCAAGATGCAATGTTACTAGTTTCCCTTTCCTGGTCCAGAGGGCGATTATCATGGCTTATGGCATGTTGATGCTCCAGAGATTTATCTTTCATTTTAGTTTAAAATAATTATATGTTCTACTATTTCAATGGTCTTCCCCATTGTTTTGTTATTTTTAAAATAAATGTGCTACTCTTTATTTTACTAATTATATTATATAACATAACTGCATGCCATTATTGCCTGAATGTTTTAAAAGCAAGGAATCATTTGTGTTTGTTTTATTCTTGCCTCAGAGAAATGGTGGGGACCAGAAACAGGGCTTAAAGCATGTATTACATGAACAAGCTACACTATAAAATTGTGAATTTAAAATTAGTCCACTTCATTAGTCAATTCCCCCCCAAGCTTTCTTAGATTATTCATTTTTTTCATTATTGATGTTCACTATTTTAACCCCAGTTTGAATTTCAAATGCTCATTTTTTTTATTGCTTAAATTGTATATATTACATTGGATTTTTCTTAGAATTACTGAGAGATGACTCCATACATGTTCTATCTTAGTTTCATGAAGTCACTTAAGTCTCTGCTATGGGGACTCTATCAGCAACTAAAAGAAAGAGACAGGGAGACAGACAGACACAGACAGATTTTAAAAATCTCTTCATAAAAATACATATCTTGATAAATAACATTTTAGTACTTTAATGAATTTGCTCTATATTCTGCCAAATAAGTGTTATCTTTGAAGTGGCTTCTAACATAGGAATAAACACAAGCATATCTGTTATGTGATGGTATGTGCACTCACATACATATAACACACAAACTCATGCTCAGACACTCTACCCTTGAAGCTTGCTCTAAATTACCAGCTTAATGCTCTCTTCACAGGATGCACCAAGGGAGTGTCAAGCTGGACGCTGCCTCAGTTAGAGAGTTTGATTATAGGTGGCAGAACTTGCCCAGCCTTTAGAGTCTGGCTACAAGTTCTCTCATTAGACAACCAATTAAAATAAATTGTTCTGGATCATCCTTCAGCAATCATAACTTCCATAAATAATTAGGCAGAAACAATTATAAAAGAGTTTATTTGAAATAAAATGTTGCAAAGCTTTGTGTATACATCTTTCCAAAAGTTGGTTACATTTTTCAATCCTTTTCTGTCAGAGTTTGCTTTAATTCAGACATCATAATTTACTCCAGGAAGAGCCAAGTTTTCATTGTGGTATCTTGAGCATCTCTCATCTCCAGGTGTAAGGAGTTAGTTTTAGAGGGTGGCTGAGACACACAGTTGATCATGCAGAACCAATCTTTAGCTACACTGGAAGCCTATAAAAACCTGGTTCACTTGTGAGTCAGGTTAAATATATTGCTGTGGTTTTAATTGATTCTATTTTAATTTGTACTCCTTGATGATAGTGGTTGCATGTGTGAGTCAACTTGTGTGTGTGTGTGTGTGTGTGTGTGTGCATGTGTGTGTCTCTCTGTGTGTGTGGGTGCATGTGTATGAGAGACAGAGACAATGAGAGATAGAGACAGAGAAAGATAAACACGGGAAGACACAGAGACAAGACAGACAGAGAAGCTATGAATGTGAGATCCTTCTGTCTCCAGAACAGATTTATTGATATTAAGCCATTTAATCTTTACCTTTGAAGACCAGCTCTTTACCTCTTCATCATCATTCACTTTTAATTTGTACTTAAATTTTGCTTTTGAGTGTTAGGTTATTCTAAAAAATAACAGCAATGGTAGGAAGTTGGTAGTAGGAATTTCCTCCTACAAGTCTTGTGGTTGCAAAGATAGCTGAGAAGCCTGTATGGATTCATCACCTCAGCTTCTCTATGGAGGAGATATGTTCTTTCTTCTATGTACATAAAATATTTAAAATTAGAATTCACCATTAAAACTATTTGTACGTCTTTCGGGTTCACTTTGAAATAACTAATTTAGCTCAAATGTTCAATAGCCAGGAACATCCTGGGAGATGTGTATAGGAATGTGATACTGTCAAATATTAGGATTACTACAGGTTTTACGAATTTTGTATAGTAGCTTCAACATTTAATGTTAGAACTAAGTTTTTCTAGAAAATATTGACTATCCAGACATTCTAAACAGGTACTGTTTTTCTGTCCTCACATCGCTCTTTTATTCATACTATTCTGAGACTTCCTTTGCACAATCCTACACTCTATGTACTACCAGCTTCAATGAAACGTCTTCATAGAACACTCTGACTCTTTTTTCTATCCAGATTCCTTGACTCAAGGTACCATATTTTTTACTACTACAACTTTAGTGTGTCTATTATTAACCCTATAACTAATCTAACATATTTCCACTCTTACTTAGCCATAATAAAATGCAACACAATGTTCACTTGGTTTCTCTTGAGAAAGTAAAATTCCATACTGACAAAGAAATATTAAATACTGTTGTCAAGGCATATTTATGTAATACTATGTTACAATGAGACAGTTCCAGTTTCCTTTGCAGTTGAAAAGTAAAATTATGACATCTGAGTCATGTACACTTGCATATACACTTCACAACACATTTGCTTTTGTGGCACTAGACTCCAGTTTGCTGGCGAATCCAGTCGCGGTAGGTTGTCACTCGAGTATACACCCCTGGCTTATTTGGCAGGCCACACTGATATCCCCAGCTCACAATCCCCACAACAAACCAAAGCCGCCGTGAGTCTTCTTGGACTAGTGGGCCACCAGAATCACCCTGAAGAAAACAAAGCAATTGATTATTTAAATGTAAAAGCAATACAGGAAGTCCTAGCCATTAAACCAGCCTATGTCTTCCTGAAAGACAATCAGAAAAAAAAATACTGAAATAAAGTATACAAGCAAGGCCGAGAAGGTGTAAAACTCGTTAGCTGGCTTTCCTCAGGTACCTCCTGGTTGCCTGGTTGCTTCCTCTTCTTCTCACACATCCATTCTAGGAAGTATCCTATGCACCACTGTTTTCCTTTGTACTTCTGTTGGGGCTCTATTAGTTTCTGCCTGTGATCTCATTCTGTGGTATGTGTGTCTCGGCTTCTTTAACATTTTAGGAACACTTGCGTATTCCCACTAGTCAGCTCTCCTTGCATCAGCATTGTGTATACTTGATCAGTGTCTGTGTGAGCAGGGCTTTGGTGAAGTTCACCAGGGAAGGGAGCATCCTTGTTCTGGACACTGCTGCAGCCTTGATTTCCATAGAAGATGTTCAAGAAATAGCTTTTGAGTGAATGAGTTTATAGTCATGTTATTTACCTATTTTTTTTTTTACTACCCAGTATGATGCTTAGTAAGTCATCTGATCATCTGTCAGTGTTCTTTTGGTGAATAATTGGTAAGAAATTTTTATGGCAGTAAGCAGAGCATTTCATATAAGATATTTACCAATCAATGGTAATAACTGCTGCCTAAAAACAAGTTACACATGCAATAATCCAGTTAGGGAGATAAATTAGAAGACACTGTATTATGATGTAATTCTTTGAAATCTGGAGCTGGATAGCCTGAGTTTGAGTCCTTCACCTGTCAGCTATGTGGACTCCAGTAAGTTCTTTAACAGCTCTGCACTGCAATTCTCTTATCAATAAATGACGTTTTTATGAGTTTAAGTGAGCTTAACACACAAAGTTGTTTGGGAAGAACTTGGTGTACAGGTAGTACTAATAAAACCCAGCTATTATTACCAAACGCATGTCTAGAAAAGTCAGCCATTCATTTGGCTGCTTTTAGTAGTTAGGTTTTTCCATACCTATTTAATTAATAGTTTAGATGGAGAGAAAGGTCAGCATATGAATCACCAACTTGCTTGACAAGTACTGCCTAAAGCTGGCTGGTACCTCACTCCTTTGAATGATGCATTCATGCTCCATTTCACTGGTCCTCAGGATTTTTTTTTTATCACTTTAGTTTTTTTTTTTTTTTTACATGTCGATCCCAGTTCCCTTTCCCTTCCTCCCTCTCTTTCTCCTTCCCTCCCTTGCTCCCTCCCTCTCCTGCTCCCTCCCTTTACCCTCTCTCCCCCCTCACATGCACCCTGACCACCCTCCCCTCCCATTCCCCCACCCCAATTCCACATGTAGAGCAATGCCATCCACAGCTATGAACACCTCATTTTCAACAAAACAGCTAAAAGAATACAATGGGGTGTGGGGGGGGAAGCATCTTCAACAAATGGTGCTGGTACAATTGGATGATTGTGTGTAGAAGACTGCAGACAGACCCATGTCTATCGCCGTGCACAAAACTCAAGTCCAAATGGATCAAAGACCTCAACATCAATCCAGCCACACTGAACCTCTTAGTAGAGAAAATGGGAGGTACCCTTGAACAAATTAGTATAGGAGACTGCTTCCTGAACATAACTCCAGGAGCACAGACACTGAGATCAACAATTAATAAATGGGACTTCCTCAAACTTAGAAGCTTCTGTAAGGCAAAGTACACAGTGGACAAAACCAAATGGCAGCCCACAGACTGGGAAAAGATTTTCACCAATCCTATATCCAACAAAGGGCTGATCTCCAAAATATACAAAGAACTCAAGAAACTTGTCAACAAAACATCAAATAACCTTATTAAAAAATGGGGTACAGAACTGAAGAAAGAATTCTCAATAGAGGAAATAAAAAAGGCTGAAAGATACTTAAGAAAGTACTCAACATCCTTAGCTATCAGGGAAGTGCAAATCAAAACAACTTTGAGATACCATCTTACTCCTGCCAGAATGGCTAAAATTAGAAACACTAATGACAACTTATGCTGGAGAGGATGTGGAGAAAGGGGAACACTACTCCACTGCTGGCGGGAGTGCAAACTCGTACAGCCATTTTGGAGATCAGTTATGGCGGTTCCTCAGGAAAATGGGAATTAGTTTATCATAGGACCTGGCAATCCCCATCTTAGGCATATACTCAAATGATCCACATCCATGCAACAAAGACATTTGTTCAACTATGTTCATAACAGCATTATTTGTAGTAGCAAGAACCTGGAAGCAACCTATATGCCCCTCAACTGAAGAATGGATAAAAAAGATGTGACACATCTACACAATGGAATACTACTCTGCAGAAAAAAAATAGAATCTTGAAATTTGTAGGAAAGTGTAGAAGAAACCCTCATGAATGAGGTAACCCAGTCACAAAAAGAGGAACATGGCATGTACTCGCTCATATATGGATTTTAGACCTAGAGCAAAGGATCACCAGCCTATAATTCACACCACCAGAGGAACTAGGATACAAAGTGTATTCTAAGAGGTCCATATAAAGTTCCTCACAAAAAGGGAAGGGACAAGTCCCCCCAGAACACATGGGAAGTGTGGGGCAGTGTGGAGAGAGAAGTAGGAAAAAGAGAAGGGGAGGAGAGGAAGGAAAGCACATGCAACTAGGGAGATTGAGCCAGGGTAGGAATAGAAGACAGAAGAGAGAGAGACAGAGACAGGGAGAGAGAGAGAGAGAGAGAGAGAGAGAGAGAGAGAGAGAGAGAGAGAGAGAGAACATAAAAGAGGGAGCCATTATTGGTTTGAAGATAAAACTGAACCTAAATAAAGGTCTAGAGGCCTACAAGTCTGCTGCCAACTGACAATTTGAGCAACAGTGGAAAGGCTACCATAAATGTCCTTCCTGGATAGTGAGATCAACAACTAACTTGTCTACCATCATGGAGCCCTCATCTAGTACCTGTTAGAAACAGAGGCAAACACCCATGAATGAACACTGAGTCGAACTAGAGTCCAGATGCAGAGGGAGAGAACAAGACCAGATTGCAGAAACACATAAAGACAGCTGACCTGAACAAGGAGGAGCTAATGGCCCCCAGACTGATAGCTGGAAATCCCACTTGGGATTTTTGATACTTCTTCTTCCTATACTGACAAAGTTTTCTGAAATGTAGTTTATCCACTATATATAAGCACTAGCTAACTATGAGTGCCATGTAACTTTTACTATAGCTGGTTAATTTTGCTGCCTAGTGGCAGTTGGTTGTATTTGAATTATTTTTTTGTAAATCTGATGAGTACGGGGAACATCTAGCTGCATTTACACATGGAATGTAACATAGAAATGAATAGATGTATTTTTTGAATGAATGTATGAGATTGACATAATAAGCTTCTGTGTAAAATATTATTCATTTATTATATTTTTTGAGATAGAAAATCTCTGCGTTAGAGTGTTTCAAGTAACGATCTGTAAGATCTGGAGTGGAACAAGGGAAAATTTCACAATAATGATGTCATCAACAGACTTGAAATGAAGTACAGACTTTGTATACACAAAGCTGAGGGAGGGCATGAGAAAGGGAAACCAAAAAGAACATCTTAGTATGCTATCCCCTCAAGTTGCTGTAACCAACACTTTCACTAGGTCTGAAATTGTCAACCTGGGTTACTCTCTGACTGTTGATTCTTTTGTTTGTATGTTTGTTTTGTTTTTTGAGACAGAGTTTCTCTGTGTAGCTCTGGAGCCTGTCTTGGAACTAGCTCTTGTAGACCAGACTGGTCTTGAACTCACAGAGATCCTCCTATGTCTGCCTTCGAAGTGCTGTGATCAAAGGTATGGGCCACCACCACCTGGTTGACTGTTGACTTCTTTAGAAAACTTTATGAAACTTGACAATTTGTTGTTATGGAAGATGGGCAAGCGTCCCATGCCTGAAGAAATTAGAGTATTTATAACGATGTTTAACTATTTGCTCCTGTGACTACATTGGCTTAAAGGAGTCTGTTAAGTTTCATTAAAATTTTGATATTAGATCTTATACTAATTTCTGCAAGGAGACAATTGTACAGTTACTGCTCGTTTTGGATATTTAATTTAAAAGTTCACAGTCTAGAGACAAAGTTTTTTCCTTCCATTCCTTTCTCCCCATTCCTCTCCTCTTCCCCTTTTCTCTCTCTTTCCTCCCTTTCCCTCCCATTTTCTTTCTTTTCCTTTTCTGTTATTATATAATTTAGGTTATCTCATGGTTCAAATAACTAAGATACTGCATACAATTTTATCTTTAAATTACTTCAAAAATTAGGCATCTTTGGTGGTTTCATGTTACAATAATTTTATTAATTGGACTGAGAATGAGGAGTGTTTACAAATAAAACAGTATAAGTTAAAATTTAATTACTATTTACAAACTTTAAATAATTGCTTATTTTTATGGGAATTCATCATTATATACAATTTTAGAATAGGACATGATTCTATGATTTATGGGTAAAATACAAAATACTAAAAATCAGGCTAGCAAACTTCAAAATCTTAACATTATTACTTGTGATTAAAACATAAAAATTTACTCCCTAGCAAGTTTGAAATATATCATACTTTATCATTAGTTGTGTCCACCATGTTATATCATATTGGTTTGACCATTCATAGCAATTAAAAACTAAAAGTTAATACTTTCATGACAGATGAGATTCAAAAGATTTTTTTCTCTATAATTAAGAGCACACATGTTTTGAGGTTCAGAGTCGTGTGTGGTAATTGTTGCTAACTTTATATCTGTCACAGGGTGATGTGCTTAAAAATGCCTATAAACTTCTTGATGATGACAATGATAAGGCTGTCTTGGACTTACCTGGCATGCATCCACAGCACCAGAAGGCACTCCAGCACAGAGCATTCCAGGCAAGACACTTCCACCGTAACCAGCTGGTTCATTGCATTCATTGTTACTTACTATTCTGACCTGTCCTTGTCGTAGATCGGTGACTGTGTTGCCTATTTAGTATAAAAACATAAATGAAACAGATTCCAGCAAATATGAATTAATGACTCTAGGCAGAATTGGAGAATTAGTATAAATACTCAAAACATTATCTGTTTTAAAAGGAAAACCACCAGAAGATGCCTTAAGAGTTTCCTCTGGGTGAAGATTCTTGTGGAAGAGAAGGGAGAACTTCCTTAGGGAGACAAATGTCTCTGTTCTTTTTCTTTTTAATTTATGGTTATTGTCCTTTTTACTCTTAGAGTTAATAAATAAATTGTTCAATGTGGTCACACATGCCTGTAATCCCAACATTTAGAAGGTAAGTATAGAAGGATCAGGACTTCAAGGTCAGCTCCATTTATAAGTAAATTTGAGATCAACCTGGACTACCATGAACACCCATCTCAAAAAAAAAAAATGAAAAACCCAATAAACATCAATAGCGCCCCAATATTTATTCTAAAATTGGCTTACACTATTTAAATTGTTCACTGATGGATTTTGGATTAGAAAGCTACACATCAATAGACATTTAGTGGCAGATGAGAAGTCAGTAGGGCCATAAGGAACTAATCTGTGATAGTGCTCTTCCAGAACTGCATGGCACTATTTTTCATGACTGCTATTAAATCTATCTATTATATCAAGCCACCTGGGTCAAAAGAACACAATGAAATGCTTTCTGGGACAAGTAAGACCTTTTTTTAGTCCCTAGAGAAATAATTGTTGCTATGGTTGTAATAGCCCAAGGAAATTGTCAATTTTCTCTTCTGTTTATCACCTGATAGTGTTATTCTTTTTTCTTGGCTAATTGTTCTTACAAATTGTGCTTATTTTAATTTTAATGTTATTCATTTAATTAATGAATAAGGTCAATATTTATCTCTATGTGGAGTTCCTTGCTATGGCTATAGGATTCATTTCATCCCAGAGTAACTTAACAAAATATATAAAGAACTCAAGAAACTAGTCATCAAAACACCAAATAACCCTATTAAAAATGGGGTACAGAACTGAAGAAAGAATTCTCAATAGAGGAAATCAAAAAGGCTGAAAGACACTTAAGAAAGTGCTCCCCATCCTTAGGTATCAGGGAAGTGCAAATCAAAACAACTCTGAGATACCACCTTTCTCCTGCCAGAATGGCTAAAATTAGAAACACCAATGACAACTCATGCTGGAGAGGATGTGGAGAAAGGGGAATATCCCTCTACTGCTGGTGGGAATGCAAACTCTTATAGCCATTTTGGAGATCAGTATGGTGGTTCCTCAGGAAAATGGGAATCAGTTTATCATAGGACCTGGCAATCCCCATCTTAGGCATATACCCAAATGATCCACATCCATGTAACAAAGACATGTAGTCAAACATGTTCATAGCAGCATTATTTGTAATAGCAAGAACCTGGAAGCAACCTGGATGTCTCTCAACTGAAGAATGGAAGAAGATATGGCACATTTACACAATGGAATACTACTCTGTGGGGGGAAAACAATGGAATGTTGAAATTTGCAGGCAAATGGATGAAACTTGAAGAAACCATCCTGAATGAGGTAACTTAGTCACATAAAGAGGGACATGGTATGTACTCACTCATATATGGATTTTAGACCTAGAGCAAAGGATCACCAGCCTATAATTCAAACTAGGATACAAGGAGGAATCTAAGAGATTCATACAAGGTCCCTCACAGAAGGGGAAAGGAACAAGATCTTCTGAGCATATTGGGAGTGGGGGGGTAGTGAGTGGAGAGGGAGCTAGGAGAAAGAGAAGGGGAGGAGAGAACATGTGGGACTAGGAAGATTGAGTCAGGGGAGGAATAGATGAGAGAAGAGAGAGAGAGAGAGAGAGAGAGAGAGAGAGAGAACATAAAAGAGGGAGCAATTATGGTTTGAAGAGAAAACTGACTCTAGAGAAATGTCCAGAGACCTACCCCCAACTAACAATTTGAGCAATATTGGAAAGGCTACCATAAATGTCCTTCCCTGATAATGAGATTGATGACTAACTTATCCACCTTCATAGAGCCCTCATATAGTAGCTTATGGAAACAAAAGCAGACACCCACAACTAAACACTGAGCCAAACTGGAATCCAGATGCAGAGAGGGAGGGCAAGACCACACTACAGAAAAACACAGAGACAACTGACCTGAACACGGAGGAGCTAATGGGCCCCCAGACTGATAGTTGGGAATCCAGCATTAGACTGACTCAGACCCCCCTGACCATGGGTTTCAGTTAGAGGGCCTGGGCAATCTAAGGGACCTCTGACTATGGAACCAGGATGTATCCCTGGTGTACAAAAGGACTTTCAGAGCACCATCCCAATGGAGTAGAGGGATACTCCCTTAACATAGAGGCAGGAGGGAGGGCCTAGTCCCTATTCCAAATGACTTGACAGATTTTGTTGACCCCTCCTGTAAGGCACCACCCTCCCTGTGGAGTGGGAGGGTGGGTTGGGAGGGTGGTGGTGGTGGTGAGAAAGTATAGGAGGGAGGGAGAGTGGGGAGGAGGGAGGGAGAGAGGGAGAGGGAACTTGGATGGATATGTAAAATAAGAAAAAAGTGTTAAAGTCCTAGGTCATACATACTCTTTTGAACTCTCCTTTTCATCACAGAAAAGCATAGATTGACTTTCTGTCTTTCTTTCCTTCTTTCTTTCTTTTTTCTTTTTGGGTTTTTGAGATGGGGTTTCTCTGTGTAGCCTTGGCTGTCCTGGAACTAGTTTTGTAGACCAGGCTGTCCTTGAACTCATAGAGATCATCCTGCCTCTGACTCCTTAGTATTGTGATTAAAAGCATGCACCACCACTACCTGACTAAACTTTCTATATTAATAAGGAACTTATTGAAGTGGCTCTAGTGAACCCAAATACAGCAAACATGGTTTTGGCAAGTTTTACCCTTGTTCCCCATTCCCTTTCCCTTGTTAAAAACTGGTAGATTATCTTCCTAAAGATGGTCCCCAGGTCCATTCTTTTATTTGGCTGCTTTCTCCTCCTGAGGCTCAATACCAAGGTTCAGCTATCAAAGTATTGACATCCAACAATCAATCCCTTTGTTCCAACCTAGTTGACATGCCCAATCAAAATTAACTAACTCATCCTAACACGGGGTTTTCCATTTTCCCTTTATAAACAGCCATTTGCCTATAGGCAATGTCTGTCTCCTCTATCCAGGGTCAGTACTTTGTTCCTTTTGAACAAATACACCTTCACCCTCTCCTTTGCTAGTTTTCTCCCCTTTCCATTCTCTTTCCCTTATCTCTCATTCTTTATCTCCTGTCTTTGTCCCTTGTCCCTACCCCCTACCCCTATGGAACAAGTAAACTTCCTTTGTGCTGAGAATATGGCCTTGGTTTGTCTTGAGCTGAGTCTGAGGTCCCTCTACATTATTGAGCCAATAGCTGTAGCTGGAGTCAGGGATGACCAGATATAGATGCTTCTCTATTAGAGGCTATTCTCAGGCTGTTTCTACATTTAATAATTTACAAAGATGGATATATTGGTATATGTCAATAGTCCCATCTTTTGGAAGGCTGAAGCCAAGGATTATGTAGGTGAGGCCAGCCTGGGCTACATAATAAGTTTCAAGCTATCCTGAATTAAAATGTGACCCTGTGTTAAAACTCAAAAACAAATATCCATAGTAACAAATAAAAGAAAATTTGTTGTTTAGCTATTTATTTTCCAGAAACACTTACCTCCATAAGTGAGTGACCCCCATCCTGTGACATATGCAACAGAACCAGGTAGGATAATTTGGGTTGCTGCAGGGAGACACACCCTGTGGATATTTCTGTTAAAGGTGACAGGTCTTTCAAGTTGTACAACTGCAATATCATTATCACGAGTTGAATATCTGTAATTGTTGTGGGATACAATAGTCCTTACTCTCACTCTTAAGATGGGACGTATTGTAGAAACACCGAAGGTGGCAGTCCATTGTAGAGGATTAGAGTAGCTAAAAATAAAAAAAAACAAAACATGCTATTAAGTAGGGAATTCATAAGCTCTTCGTATATTAGTACTTGTATTTTCATCTTATTAGGTCTTTGAGAATTTCATATAATGAGTTTTGTATTTACCACTACCATCTCATTGGTAAATTTTCCTGCAATGTAATCTCAGACCTGCATTGAACTTCTTACTAGCAGCTTAAATGGTCATTTTCTTCTAACTGTACAGAGAAGGACTTTTTAGAAAACACATCTTGAAGTAATAAATTATCTCAACTTTTTCTATCCCAGTGAGTGCATCCTAACACTACAAATATTGAAAACGGGTGTAGGGGAATGTCATTATTTCTTCTTCCCTAGTGTTTTCATTCAAGCATCAAGGGATTATGAAATTGTTATATTTTCTATTTTAAATCATTCCCTTTGAGTACTGTTTTTTTCTCTTGTTTTGAGAAGGAAGAGCTATTCAAATAGTAGGGAGGTTGAAGGCTGTCATTCTTGTTAATAGATGAATGATTATTCTGTACTCAATCTGATGCATGCTATGTATATAAATAGTATATAAGTATGTACATATTTGTAGAAAGAACAATACTTTTCTAACATAAAATATAGGAAATTATTATTGAACCTTTGTAATTATCAAGTTTTTCTTAAGCTACATCCTAAAAACACATATGTAAGGTTAAAAAAATGGATACGTTTTATTATGTCAAAATTAAGTACAATATACACAAGTTTATCTGATAAATGAGAAACCAAAAGAAAGTACTAGTAATGCTTAATATTTGAATTTTTGTGATAGTCTCATATATCCCAGGCTTGCTTAGAACTTATTAGATGGCTGAGGATTATCTTGAAGTTCAGATAATTTTGTTTCTGCATTCTAAGTGCTTTGTATCACACTGCCACCATTCCAAGGTCATGTCTATAAACTTTGCAGGCTATATAATATTGTCTATAAGCCAGTAGTAAGTGGACTGAGAAGCCATTGTAGAATGGACATGGACTATTAATAGGAAATTCATGGAAAGTGAGGCAAAAACACTTTCTAGATGTAAGAAGTGCTCAAACTCACTGGTTATCAAGAAATAGAAATTATAGCAATGAATACCTAATGTATATTTATAAAAATGATAAAAAAGTAATTAAGAGCACATTACCAAGTGTTGGTTAGACAGAAAGTTGGATTTTTTTTTTTTTTTTTTTTTTTTTTGTATTTCTGGACAACTAAACATTTGGAAAGCTTTACAGTATATTTATAAATTTGTATATGGTGGGGGAATGTCCTTCTGTATACATGTTTGTATAATTGGTTGATGGATAAAACACTGTTTGGCCAATAGAGGCAGGAGGATAGGTTGGACTGGAAATGAGAAGAATTTTGGGAAAAGTAGGCAGAGGGAGAGAGACCGCAGAGAGATGCCATGTAGAGACCAGGAGGATAGGATGTGCCGGGTGTTCTCTGGTTAGATAAGGCCATGTAGAAATACATATATTTATAGAAATTGGTTAATAATTAAGATAGAGCTAGCCAATAATAGCCCTAGTCATTAGAAAACAGTTTTATAATTAATATAAGTCTTTGTGTGCTTATTTGGGGCTGAGAAGGGTGGTAGGAGCTGGCAGGGCAAGAAACTCCAGCAACACACATGGACTTCTGGGTACATATCAGAAAATTTTCTAAATATTTATTGATAGTATTCTTTTGTGTGTATATACTTGTGTATGCCCGTGACATGTGTTCTTTGTGGCAGTGGAATATTACAGAAACCTAATGAGATGAGATAAATATGATGACTGCTTATGGTGAACTCAAGCGCAGCAGTGTTTCAAACAGATAGAAAGTCCTATGATTAGGTAAAAACCATAAAGAAAATACAGTTATAAATTCTCTCCATTCATAGTTCAACAAACAATGGCTCTCTAGGTTGTATGAGAAAAGTCTCGGGGAATAACATATGAAATAATTTATGATTTCTATCATTTAGAAGTTCAATATACTAGAGGAAGAGACAAGTATTCTTTCAGAAAACAACAAAGATTACCGAGAAAAGTAAAAAATTGCCATGAAAAGTAAGAAAATACCTTGAGGAGATGTCAATAGAATAATCTTCAAAAGAGTCTCATTACATCTTTGTTCCTGGATATAAGCTGGTACTTCGCCATCCCTCAACATGCCCCTTCCCATGGTTCTCAGTGATAATCAGATAACTAGAGAGGGTACCAGGACATGGTCCACATAATTTTTCAGCTCTGGGAGCAAAATTAAAAGATGTTTCCTGCATGGCTTCAGTAGTCACTGTTGGTACTTGTGATTATACCTTTCAAGATAGTGACATAATTTCCTTGGTTTTTGATACCTAGGTTCTAACAGAATACAGATATAATCCTGTTTCTAATGCATCCCCAATTAGACTTACACTAAATGTATGCTAGGTCCACATGCTTATACTTTTGGTTTCCACACTAAGGGCTTGACTAAAAGCCAATAATATTGGCATTTCAAGTGATATTGATGATGGAATGGTTTTATGAGTTTTGTTTCTTACCTGAAATGCAGCAGCAAGTATGTCTATTTAAACCAGAATCGTGTGAATTTAGTGGGATCTCTGAAATAAATTTTAAATTTATCCACTAACACTGAGTTATAAAACAGTAGCATAAAGATTTAGAAAGATGTGAGGTTTCCTAGAACTTTCGTTCAGAAACTGTACATGTTCATGTTTATTTCTGCTTCGTTTAATAAATGGTCTTATTAAAAAACTGTAATAAAAGACAGTGCTCTCAGGATTCAATAGCATCTCTTTGGAATTGTGAATATCCCAAAGAATACCATTATGAACAAATGGGGATATAGAAAGGATAACATTGTATGGAAAAGCAGCAAGTTGAGAAATTTTATAGATGTGGAAACATGAAAATAGCCAGATGAGAAACATGCTGAGAACCTGAATCTTTGATTTCATCATTGTGGAAACAAGTTTGGAATGATTTGAGTGAGGATGGATTTGTGTGTATGATAAGGATGCTGTATTCTACTGAGTGGAAAAGACCGAGAAAAGAATAGAGATTATTAGGAACACACTTGGGCTTACTTTTTCTGCATGATTTTTTGAGTTAGTTTCCCCCATTTTTTTAAGCCTTGGATATCCAGTACCAACATATGTCTGAAACTAGAAGGTTTCATCACATTGAACACATGATAAAAATCCTTTATTAGGATAATTGTGAGCATTACCTTGTACCAACAGAATGAGTTTGCAGAGTTGCTCTTCAGCAGTTACTTACCAAAGTGTAAAGTGTAAGTAATAGCCTGTAGCCACTTCAAATGTCTAGTTGTAAATGGCCTAATTTAATGACTCTGAAGTAGTAGCACTGCTACTGCTGTTTGTATCTGGTGCTTCTATGATGCATGATATTGTGTTCCATATAGGCATTACATCATTTTGGAAAATTAAATAGTGGGATTTTCTAGTCTCTAGGTTGACTATCTGTCTACTAATTAGCTTCTATGAAAATCCTTTGCAACAAAATATTAACAAGTATTTTACTTATTTAATTTGATATATATATAAGTGTTTTGTCTGAAAGTATGTATGTGCACCACATGCTTGTCTGATGCCTGCAGAGTTCAGAAAAGAGTGTTGGATGCTGTGAAGCTAGAGCCACCATGTGGGTCCTGAAAATTGAACCTGGATTCTCTGAAAGAGAATGAACCATCTCTCCAGCCTGGACCACAACAACTTAACATTATTTTTTAAACAAGAGTGTAACCAGTCCTACCAGTAACACTAGCACTTAGATAGTAGTGTTGCCCTTAATATGAAAACAGAGTGAAGTTACATAAATTCTATGAACTTTTATAGCAAGGATTTAAATTAAGCACTCTAGTATGTGATCCTTTTGTTCTTTGCTATGATAGAGTACTGTCATTTGAAAAAGAGAACTATCAGCAAATCATTACGCTGAAGGAGAAAAGATAATTATGCTTCTATAAATAAAAAAGAACAGACTCAGAAATCATTTCCATTGAATTATTTAGGTGTCAACCCAATTATGTTTAGTACTGGGGGTAGTAGTAGAGTCTTCATATAGCTGTCTTTCCTAATTATTCCCAGGAGGAAGAGTAGTTGTGAACTCACCTTCTGAAGCAGTGAGCTGCTGTCAGGACCCACAAGTTACTGATCAGGATACCTCCACAGTGGTGAACATTATTGAGCTGTAGACTGACTTGCCAGGGCCAGTCACCTGTCTCAGCTAGCGTGCCTCCAATGATTCTCTCTTCTGATAGTGTTATAAGGTCTGGACGGGCTCCACATTCTAATAGGAAAAAAGTATTAACATGCTGGCAAGGGGATGGTTCTTTCCATTTAAAAAAATTACTGCAATGAGTTTTCATCATGTAAAAATTTTCCACCTTTTTCCTAAAACATGCTGGATATTCCAAATGAATGACCATTTACTTTTATTTGAGGCAGGGCCTCATATAGCCCAGGCTAGCTTCAAACTCTCTGTCTATAACGGAGAAAGACCTTGAACTACCGATCATCCCAATTTTATCTGCCAAGTGCTGGGATTATAGACATGCATAATCCCTGTGTATCTGGTTCAGTATGTATGTGGATTTGCATTATAGAGTCCATTTCTGGACATAGTTGAATAAGGCCATTATATTTCTGAGGGTCTTCATAATGGTTTAGGATACGTCATTAGTGTGGGCTAACACATGCCAGTGATGGATATGCCGTGATAGGTCCCACACTCCTGTGAGATTTCCTTTTTCTGAATACTCAAAATATGACCCATGGCCCTATAAAATGATTGCCCCTGCAAACTTGTTTGAAATACTGACTTTGAGTCCCACACCATTGTAAGGAGTAAGGTTTTTCCTCTCACCACTGGTCTGGTCCCGCCTCTGTGCCTGCCCCAATTAACACACAGAGACTCTGTATTTGATATAATGCTGTTGGCCCATTACTAGTTTCTAATTGGCTAGCTCTGTCTTAATTATTAACCCATTCCCATTAATCTATGTATTTCCACGTGGTCTCTCATCTTACCGAGAGCGGGTGTCCTGCTCTCTCCAGACCCTCCATCTTGACTCCTCCTTCCTACTTCCTCTTTCCTCCTTGTCTCCTAGTCCTGCCTATCTTGCTTTCCTATTGGCCAACAGTGCTTTATTCATTAACCAGTATGAGAAACATATACAGAATGACATCTCCCATCACACCATGGAACACTTCACAAACTGTTATTATGAGGAAAGATGCATGTACATAGTGAAGTTAGAATAAAACCATTGTATCTAGAAGCCCTCTGAGTGGTTTTGTAGTTCATTATGATGTTCTAGTCCTCCTTACCTGGCTGTGTATAAGTAAAAGTACCTTTGAGAGGAACTGACCCTGACAGAGGTTTGAATTAGGCCCAGTGAGATTACTCAGCTGGTAAAGGAGCCTGCCTCCAAGACTGACATTGTAAATTTGATTCCTGGGACTCATATAGTGGAAGGAGAGACCTGATTTCTCTTTATAGTCATGCCACAGCATATGTATATGGACACACACACACACACACACACACACACACACACACACACACACGCACAAAACATAGTTTAAAAATAGAATATAATTTTATTTAAATATCTTAAGAAACCTACAAACAATTCAGAGACAGATGTTAAAAATGGACTGGAATGGGTTAATTTCATCAGTTCTCAAATAAAAGCCTTATACTATTTATTCTTACAGTCAGTTTAATGTTTATTAGTAATAATAGAGGCATATCATTAATAATAATTTCTATTGTTGGGTTGGTAATTGCTAATTCTAAGCATTTGTGTTCTTACAAATTTCTCAATAAAGAGGATTAAGCTTTCATTAAGAAATATATGTGTGTATGGGTTCTTTTCCTGCTTTCTCCAAGTAAATTCCTCAGTGAACTATTTTATTACAGTTTTGTTCAAAATAATTGTACATTAAACATAGAACTGAATTGAAATATATCTTGAAGTACCTTTTTAAAATCTCTTAAGTATCTAAAATAAATCAAAATCCAAGTACATGAAACTCATTTCTAACTACATTTGGCTGATCTGAGAAGTAAATTCCATGATTCTAAGAGTTCTATGCCTATCCTCTTAGTAAAAATGTATGCAGAATGACATTGGAACACAACTTTCCTTTCAAGTTATATGCTTCAAACTGACAATACATTTTACATTTTTTTCCTTATGATTAACCCAAAACCCACACAATAAATCAAGGTACTCTGGTGGTTCAAAAATCTACATGAATGTTGTTATCACACATAATTTACAAATCTACAGAAACATTGCATTAGAACCACAGGAACAAAGCTTCCCTGAACTGCCAAGAAAATTGCCTGGAGTTTGGGGGTTGAGTGCCAAGTGGATTATACTCAACTGTGTGGTTCCATTCCCTTTTTTTTTTCCTAGAAGGAGGAGAAATTTACTTAAATATTATGACATCAGCAGTATGAAAAGCGGTGCCTGCTTTCTATAAGAACCATGCAGAGGTCACTCAGAATGATGATGCCAACTTCACAGATAAGGCTTTGGCAGAGAGCTCAAAAGACTTGGATTTTAAATCCTTAAAATTTGATAAATACTTACAGAATAATTAAAAACTTACCTTGAGTCAAAAAATTTTCTGTATCCTGGTCAGTGAGTGCTAGTGTTAAAAAGGAAAGAGTGATAATAAGATCAAGAAAATAGAAGCTGAAAATCATTTCACCTTGATTTCATGAAGCTCAGTGCTAAGGCAACTGGGAACACAGTCACTGGGAGGGTTTGCTGAAATTCAGATTCCCAGGCTCCACCTTAAGCCTTTGGAAAGAATCTCTGAGTCATGTGCCCCAGAAATCTGTCTTTGCAACCTCATCCTAGTTTGTTGTTGCACACAAATTGTTGGAAGTTTGTGCTTACATCCTTCATGAAATAATTACCAGGTGTTGCACGCGGAAACATTTTAAGGCTAGCAGGATCAACTGACAATATTGGTGGCGAGATGTGTACTAGGTGTGGGAGGGGACACAATTCAAAAGTCATTCATTTCTATTGGCAAAAGAAAGGTGGCATTAAGCAGTAATTAGTGTTCAATATGATATCACATAGTAGCTAATCATTCATTTTTCAAATATGCCTGTGAGTAGACATTGGCATATACATGTGTCACTTTACTAATGCTACATTATGTGCTGTTTTCTTAAGAGTGAGCAAAACAGAGACTCTCTCAACACATTATTTACAGATTGATGCTAACCAAAGAATTGTTACAAATGAAAAGTAAAGTATAGGAATGGGCATTGAAACCAGGAGAATCATAGATGCTATCTTGAAGGACAACATTTACACTGTACTTGGAAACGCTAAGGAATGGTTCATGAAGACTAGAAGGGAAAAAACATTTTGAATGGAAGGTGAGATATCATCTGTGCTGCAGGATGTAAGATGTGTGTGATGCAATAGTCAGTAAGCTACTATACATGTTGCATGTAGGATGTTGGGAGTGCCACGCATGACAATGTCAGCCCTGGGTAGTGACAGTGTGCTCTGGTTTTAGGTCTGCATTTTCTAAGACAGGTCTTAGAGTCATCTCAAACTCAGTATGAACACGCTTTATCTAAAATTTAATATATTTCATCATTCAGGAAGAAATACCATACCTATAGGCAGTTATAAATGACCTAAAATTTCCCTTTTCTCATTCTCATCCCTTTGAAAGAACCTCATCCTCTTTGCTAGTCCATACATTTGTTGACACTTTTACAGTTGTAATTCCTTCAAAATGATTTCCCTGTTGTACATATAGGATTGATAATTTCTGAAACCATGTCAGGTTATTGTCTGCTGGACTGGAAAATTTTTAGTGGACCATCTATATTCTTATTTTCAATAAAATTAAACCAAAGTTCTTAAGATGGGTTTTCATACTTTAAAAATAGTTCTTGTAAAAATTATTCCCAGTTTCATAAAGTTTGTATGTTTCCTTTGCTTTTGTAAGTATTAGTAGGGCTAAGCCATCCTGTTGGGAGCAGGAAAAGCAATTAACAAATAACAGCTGATGACTTTTCTTTCTTCTTTAACAAGGAACACTTAAGTTTGAATCTTAACTGCCAACATACTGACTCTTTGATTCTGGGTCCTTATTTATCTTTTCTAAATGAAAGTAAAAGAAGCTATGGGATGTCAAAGCATTCTGTAATAGTACTTGCTTTTTCTCTATCTTTCCCTCTCAAGCAAAGCTTCTTTTTTCCATGTCTCAGGATATGGAGATCCTTCTCATGTTTGTGTACAAAACTTATCTGTTAATTACCATTGTCATTATGGAAAATAGGAGGTCTTTTGGAAAGAAAGGCTGGAAATACAGCTATCATATGATCCAGCTATCCCCTGCTAGGTAATCAGTCAGTTGTCAAAATGGTATCACACCTCATGTGCATTGTGGAACTGTTCAAAATCGTCAAGATGTTGTTTGGGTATAGTTTTTTTTTTTTTTACAACTGTGATAAATACTGTAACTAAAAGCAACCTGAGTGGAAAATGTTTACTTTGGCTTACAACTCCCAGGGCACAAGCTCAAGGCAGGAACCTGGAGGTAGGAAAGGAGCAGAGTCAATAGAGGAATGCTGATTACTGGCTTGCCTCTCATGACTTGCACAGCCTATGTTCTTACATTATCCAGTACCACCTACAATGGACTGGGCTCTTCCACATCAAATATTAATCAAAAAATATAACCTACTAGCTTGCTCACAGATGTATCTTACCAGAGAACTTTTTCAATTGAGGTTCCTCTAACCAAATGACTCTAGCTTGTGTCAAATTGACTAAACAGTAGCTGGGAAAATCAACCCACTGTCAACTTGACACACTCAATAACAAACTTTCCTTTCTCATTTGTCCCAAAGAAGGATATAAAACATTTAAACTTTTAAAAAGTCCTACAGTCTATAAAGGTTAAAAATTAAAAGTTTAGTGTATTTAAAATATGCAATATAACTCTAAAATTGCAAAGTTTCTCTAAAATTTCAAAGGTCTCATAATGATATAGATAGCCAAAACAACCTTGTACAATAAAGGAGCTTCAAGAAGCATCACTATCCCTGATTTCAAGCTCTATTGTAGAGCTATAGTAATGAAACCAGCTTGGAATTGGCACAAAAATAGACAGGTAGACCAATAGAATCTAATTGAAGACCCTAATATTATCCCACACACCTATGAACACATGATTTTTGACAAAGAAGCTACAATTATACAATGGAAAAAAGAAAGCATCTTCAATAAATGGTGCTGGCATAACTGGATGCTGACATGTAGAAGATTGCAGATAGATCCATATACATCTCCATGCACAAAACTTGCATCCAAATGCATCAAAGACCTCAACATAAATCCAGCCACATTGAATCTCTTAGAAGAGAAAGGAGGAAGTACCCTTGAATGAATTGATATAGGAGACCACTTCCTGAACATAATACCAGTAGCACAGACACTGAGGTCTGTGGGACCTCCTGAAACTGATAAGCTTCTGTAAGTTAAAGGTCACAGTCAACAAGACAAAATGGCCTACAGAATGGGAGATCTTCACTAACCCCACTTCTGACAGAAGGCTGATGTCCAAATATACAGAGAACTCAAGAAACTAGTTACCAAACATCAAATAATCCAATTAAAAAGTGGGGTACAGAACTAACTAGAGAATTCTCAACAGAAGAATCTAAAATGGCTAAAAGATACTTAAGAAAGTACTCAAAATCTTTAGCCATCAGAAAAATGCAAATAAAAACAGCTGTGATATATCATCTTGCACTTGTCAGATGGCTAAAATCAAAAACACCAAAGACAGTTTATGCTGGAGAAAGGGTGCACTCCTCCATTGCCAGTGGGAGTGCAAACTTGTACTGCCATTTTGGAAATCAGTATGGTGTTTCCTCAGGAAAATTATAATCAGTCTACCTCAAGATCCAGCAATTCCACTCTTAGGTATATACCCAAGGGATGCATATACCATACAATAAGAACATCTGTTCAACTATGTTCATAGCAGCATTATTTGTAATAGCCAGAACCTGGAAGCAACCTTGATGCCCCTCAACTGAAGAATGGATAAAGAAAATGTGGTACATTTACACAGTGGAGTAATACTCAGTGGGGGAGGCAATGGAATCTGGAAGTTCGCAGGCAAATGGATGAACTAGAAGAAACCATCCTGAGTGAGGTAACCCAGTCAGAAAAAGACAAACATGGTATGTACTCACTCATATATAGATATTAGATATAGAGCAAAGGATTGCCAGCCTGTAATCCACACCTCCAGAGAAGTTAGGAAACAAGGAGAACCCTAAGAGAGACATACAGCATCCTCTGGAGAAGAGAAAAAGGACATCTTCTGAGCAAATTGGGAGCATGGGGTTGGGGAGGGAGTTAGGAAATAGAGAACGGGAGGAGAGTGGGGAAGAATATGAGGAAGCAGGAAGATTGGGTCATGGAAAGAACAGAGGAGAGAAAGAAAAGAGGTATCTTAATTGAAGGAGCCATTAAAGGTTTAAAGAGAACTTTATCACTAGGGAAATGTTCAGAGATTTACAAAGATGACCACAACTAAGAATCTAAGCAATAGTGGAGAGGCTACTCTAAATGTCCTGCCTTGATAATGTGATTGGTGACTACCTTAAATGCCATCCTAGAGCCTTCATCCAGTAGCAGATGGAAGCAGAAGCAGAGACCCATAGGTAAACACCGAGCCAAGCTCCTGGAATCCAGTTGTAGACAGGGAGGAATGATGAACAAAGGGGTCAAGACCAGGCTTCAGAAACCCATAGAAACAGATGACCTGAATAAGGGAGAGTTCATGCTACCCAGACTGACAGCTAGGAAACCAGAATAAGACTGAACCAGGAGCCCTGAATATTGGTGTCAGGAGGCCTGAGCATTCTAAGGGGCCTCTGGTGGTGGAATAGTACCTAGTGTACAAATGGACTTTGGGAGCCCAATCCCCATAGAGGGATACTCTATCAATCTAGACATTTGGAGGAGGGCTTAAACCTACACCAAATGATGTGACAGACTTTGATGATCCCCCATAGAAGGTCTCGCCCTCTTCGGGGAGCATAAGAGGAATGGGATTGGGGGAGTTAGTGGGGGACATGGGAGAATGGGAGAGAGAGGGAACTGGGACTGATAAGTAAAATAAGATTGTTTCTAATTTAAATTAAAGAAGAATAAGTCATGGGACAAGATAACAAATACTTATTTCACTTGGATGAGGAAACTAAAACATTAAACTTGAAGAAGTAGGGAATGGGATAGCTTTAATATGAACCTATTAAGGGTGTCTTGGATCAAAGAATGGAGAGGGGATGGAGTGTAGTGAGATACTCACTTTGTCCACATTTGTGGCACAGACCATGCCCATTGGGGGTGGAGGCAGGGCCAGAAGTTACCTGTGGGAACTAAGTCTGAGGAGGGGGCCCACGGAGTTCTCTTGCTTGCAGCATGGGGACAAGAGAACATCTGGAGTCATCCTTGGGACCAGGAACCTGTTGGTGTCCATCTATGTTGTAAGTTATTTCTCCCTGAATAAACATCTATTCAGCCTATTTGCTTCTCCTAATCCTTATCAAACCTCAATATCTGGTGTTATAAGTGGGATATGTCATTCTGTAAATATGTTTTTCTTATTGGTTAATGAATAAAACACTGTTGGCCAATAGGAAATCAAGGTAGGCGGGATTAGGAGACAAGGAGTATTCAGGGAGAGGTAGGAAGATTCAAAATGTAGGACAGAGAGATCAGAACATGGGCCCCCCCTCCAGTAAGATAAGACCACATGGAAATACTTAGATTAATAGAAATGTGTTAATATTTAAGATAGAGCTAGCAAATAAAAAACTCTAGTAACAGGCCAACAGCTTTATATCTAATACAGTGTCTGTGTGTGTTATTTGTGGCTGATGTGGCTGTGGGACCAGGCTGGCAGAAAGCAACAAAGGAGAATGAGTTGACAGGTAAGTATGGGTAGGAAGGATCGCTTTTCATGTTCTACAGCTGTCATGAACTATGGTTGACAACAATTAATGAATATTTTAAAATGCTTAGCATAGAAGACTTTAACTGTCCCCCAAAGAAAGAACTGTTGAATGTCTGGCATGATAGACATGCCAGTTTCTCTGATCTAGCCAAATAGGTTTTAAGCATTTTATGCATTTGCAGGTTTTTTCATAATAAATTTTATAAAATACAAAAAGCATTTTCATGTTTCTTATGCAAATTGGAGATATCAGGCAGGAATTATATTCCCAGTTTACAAAGATAAAACTGAATCCATAAGTCCTTTTAAATTTCAACCCCTAAAATTCACTCCTATTGGAACAGTTTTAACTTACCTAATCAATTTCAGAAAGAAAATGAATACATTTTCTTTATCATGTTGTGTCATTCTATACAGGGCTCAAAACAATAGAAAAAGACATGGTAGAACAAATTAAAATATATTGCTCTCATGTGATACTAGGAAATAGATCTCTTCCCATGTTGAAATTATTGCATTTAAGAAGAAATTCTAGAATGTTTTGTGTTAGAGAACTATATATTACAATCAGAATTGTAGTAGTTTTGATAGTTCAATCACAAATAATGAGGGGAGATTCTCATTTAATGAATATATGAATTTGAATGAGTAAACTTGAAAGATATATTAAAACGAAAAGTCATAGAAATGATACTTGCATGTTATCTCATTCGAAGGGGCTATTTCCAAGCTTCCAGAGTTACTCAGTATTCGAAGCACAGAATGAATCCTGTTTTTCATGGATCTTCTATTGCTACGTTTACTAGATCGAAATTTCATGACAGCATCCGCAATCACGCCATTCCCTTCTTTCCTGTCAGTCATTAGAAACAGACACTTTGGATACTTTTGTATTATTTATATGCTCTTCTTGATGAAATCATCTTTAAAAAATTCAAGTGGGAACTTATGTGCGTAACAGTGGACACTAAATGATATCTTACAATACTATCTCCCAAATTTGGTTTCAACACAACTCACTGTAATCGCCATACAGTATAACATTTTGAAATCAGAATGCTACCACCATGAACTTTTCATAAACTATTTAAGTTTCTTAATACATCGAGTCCAAAAATCTTACTGTTTTAACTGGGTTTTTGTCAAGATTAGATATGTAAATTGAAATAAAATTTTGGAAAGATTGCATGGAAAACACTAAGTACATTATAATAAACATTAGCTGTTTTTAGACTTTACCAAGTTGAGAAAAATACCTATTGTCTGAAACAAACTTAAAAATTGATGAGTTCAAATTTTTTGAGTTAAAACAACAGGTTAATTTTCAGTTACATAGACCCACTCATCTGGTCATGACAACACATTTATAGTCCTATGTTACGGTTTTGTTTCTGTTGTGGTTGATTGCCAAGACTCATTTTTTTCACAATGAACTTGATATCAAAACCTAGATAAATTCTACTTTATTTCATACCAATAATGTTAGGTCTAAAGTAGGCTTACAAAATGCCAGTGCTGGTGACAGTGTCCTAAACAGGTCTCTGACTGGGTAAGCAGAAGGACTGTTATTATTTATATAAACAGAAAACAAAATACAGCATTCATTGGGAATTTTGTAAGTTAGGTTTCTATTTATCATGAAAACTACTACTTCCCTTATCCATCCCAAGGGTCAACTGCTCTAGTTGTCATACAACTTATACCATCTCCAAGGTCCCCATTCTGCTGACCAGCATATAAAATTGGGTTGATTTCCTAAGAAATTGATGTTCTCTGTCTCCCAGACAACAGTTTGGTCTTATACTGGAAAATCTTTCTTTCTACTCACAAAGTGATCCAGGTTGGTGGTTTTATTACACCCTCACTTACAAATAATTAACACCATGAACCACCTCCACCATCTGCTGTTGGCTTGTTTGTGTACTGTCTAATTTTCTGCCAACTAATCACAAGCTATAGGCATCTGTGAGAAGGGAATCTTTTTTTTTTTTTTTTTTTAATATTAGAAAGAGTTTATTTGGGCTTATGATTCCAGAGGGGTGAGAGTCCATCATGATAGGGAGGTAGCAGGCATGGCTGCTGGACTAGCAAGATGAAAGCTCTCACCTTGAAGCCCATGCACAGAGCAGAGAGCAAACTGGGAGAGCCTCAAATCTTTAAATTCTCAACACCCCCTCCAAACACTTCCTCCTAAACTTCCCAAACAGTACCGCCAACTGGGACCCAAGTGTTCAAATGCCTGAGACTATAGGGAACATCTCATTCAAGCCATCATAGCTGTCCTGGGCTACATAATGAGTTCAAGGCCAGCCTGGGCTGCATATGAGACTCTCTCAAAAACAACCACGCAAGAGACAAAGGACCAGTAAAGCCAGTAAAGTTCTTGCTGTCCAAGCACAACAACCTGAGCTTGGACACTTAGAAGGGAATCTTGATTCAGAAAATGTTTCCATAATATCAGGCTTGTAGGTTATTTTCTAAATTAGTGATTTATGTGGGAGCGCCCAGCCCATTATGGATGGTAACACCTCTGGCTGAGAGGGTCCAAGGTTCTGTAAGAAAATAGGCTGAACAAGCCTTTGATGAGCAAGCTAGTAAGCAGCACCCCTCCATGGTCTCTGCATCAGCTCCTGCCTCCAGGTTCATGTGCAGTTTGAATTTCTGTCCTGATTATCCTCAGTGATGAACACTAATGTGGAAGTGTAAGCCAAGTAAACCCTTTCCTATGCAGGATGCCTTTGGTTATGGTGTTTCATCACAACAGTAGTAACCCTAACCAGGACAGTTTGCTTCTGTTTGGGAAAGTACAGTTGGAAAATTTGGCTTGATGTCTCTCATACACATTTTGTTTTCCTCAACCCATATCAAGTGCCAGTTCAAACAGTAGATTTGTCCTGAGAACTAATTTAGTGTATTTTTTAACATAAAAATTCCCAACATTTTCTGGTGCTATTCATGACTCTAAGTTTCAGTAATTAGCTGTGGTGAAATTTCACTGTTGCCACTCTTATGATCGGCCAATTTAGATGGAGCAATAGACACTGAACAATTACAATTTATATGATGCTAAATCTAAGCAATTTAAAAATGCTATGCAAATGTTAGATAAAATGGTATGAATCTCTTTCAGATTCAAAACTGAGCTCACATGATAGGAAAATTTCTAGTGTCAAAAACAATCTGTTAAGTTATATATTCTAGAAAAATTAATATGTTTCCATTTAACAATTCTATAGCAATTCGAGTTGAGGGCTTGGGTGAGTGAAACATATGGACTTGGCATTTAGATTTCAAGCAACTGAACACTCTAGTGGAAGCATGAATTCAAGAGAAATTAAAACCTGCTCATCAAAAAGGAGAGGTTTATCTATTTCCAAAGCTCAGCTACACCTTAGGGAAAAAGACATTTTATCCCTCAGAAAATTAGGAATCATGAACCTGGGCACATAACATTTGTGTTTGTATTGACAATACTTATGTATTCTTAGAATCTTCAAAGTATTAAGAAGCTGAAGTAAAAAGGGACAAGGGAGCACCTTGAAATGCTCAACACAGTATCACCAGTGGAGAAATATATTTGAAGTGGTTAATGATATAAAAGAAAGAATTATAAATATGAGAAAAATACATGATTTTATCATCCCTCTCCCCCGAAAGAGCAGATATGTGGAATGTTGTGGTTCATGCCTGTAGTCACAGCATGCAGGAGAACTGAATGAGTCTGAGGCCATCCTGACCTGTAAAGTAACACTTTATTTCAACAAAGCAGAAAAAAAGAGCAAACAGACTAACAAAAGACCTGGTAAATCCTTGTGATAAAACAACCAACAAAACAAACAACCGATCAACCAAACAAAACGTTCCTAATGAAGTGATAGCTTTCCAAGTCGTTTACAAAGAATGTTGGTCAAAGCTAAAGACATTCAGTTAAATGAGAGGTGGATATGAAAAAGTCAGAGTCTAACAACAGCTAAAGAATGAACACAGTCAGACATTAGGAGACACAGGAAAGTCCAGTGAATACTGAGGCAACACTAATGAGGAACACAGACCAGAGAAAACAACTGTAACACTAGGATAGACAGTGAGAATTACCCTGAATTCATAAATACGTGAAGTCTCCAATCACAATGAGTCTGAAGCACACTAAACAAAAGAAAATAATTCAAGTACACCAATAAAACTAAACTCAAAGGCCAAGAAAGGATTCTTCTAAGGAAAATAGAGAAAAGACTAGTTGAACATGAAGAACAAACAAAAGAAGTTGACTGAGGCTACTTAATAGAAAGGTAGAAGTCACTATGTCACAAAATATTCTAGATGCTGAAAATCACTACCTTAGAATTTTATGTTGATAATGAATGAAGGTCCAGGTCTCTAAATTCATGTGAAAGCCATGTAGAGGTGGTAGCCTACCAGTAATCCTAGTCCCTGGGAAGCAGAGAGAAGGAACACCAGACCAAGATGACTGAACAGATCAGCTTGAAAGGCAAGCTCCAAGTCTAGAAAGAGATCATCAGTGTAAAAGGTGGACAATGATCAAAGAGACACCCATGTATCTTCATATACACATTCACATGTATACACATACACCTGCACAAACATGTGCCTGTACACAAAAATACTGCACACCACAGTCATACATCTGTAAAATGAAATGAAGGATAACTAGAACATCATTGATAATAATGATCAAGACTACCAAATTCCCTGAATCATTTTGAAGAAAGATAGGGAATTATACTAGTTCTTGTTCATATTATATTGATAGTCACTAAAATAGGATAACAAGAATGGAAAGCCCTCAAACTAGTAAAAGAAAAAAAAAATGAAGAAAACACAGTCATTCATAATAAAGTAAGCCAGTAGGAAAAAGAATGATAAACAAGGAAAAAATAAATAAAAAAATTATTTTTCTTGGATTCTGCAATTTGAAAGCTGTTAATAAAATTAGCAAGAACACCTTGTATTTTGGAGTGTGGTCAGAAGAGGATTAGTGGCAAGTGGGAAGTTAACAAAAGGAATAAAATATGGATGGCCTTTTCCATTTACCCCTCTAGTGTTTGCTGAAAAGTTTGAGCATTACAAACTAGTACAGATACAACAAATCACCCAAAGAAATGCTCACTGAACAGATAGAAATGTGTCTGTAGTTTCTTCCTCAGCCTTAAATTCCTCATCAGGAATCAATTTAACTGTAATCCTGCTTTTTTTGTGATTTAATTATTAGTTGAGGAATACTTCATGCAGATTCCCAAAGCCTGTATGCTGCCACTTCTATTGTTAGTCTGCTTCAGACTTGTCATTTATTTTTATTACAATATCATCCTTTTATTATATCATTCTGGGCAAGTGAAGCCAAAAACTCACTTCTGGTGTTGTCATGGTGTGCTGATCTTGGATGAATACATCCCAAGTTTAAGCAACTCAAGGAGGCACTGCTTTCATAGACTGCATTATGATATCCAGTGGATTTACACACTAGCATGGTCCTGTTACTGTCCCCTCACACCAGCTTTTCTTGTACCCATTAAGAATGTAGTGATATGGTTATTTATAACAATAGCAGAATATGCAGCATTTTACTTCATTTTTTTAAAAGATGGCCCCGTTTTCTTACTATTTTTATTTTCATCTTATTGTAACAATCACATGAACATGCCATTTAATATCCGTAGTGTAAACTGAAGTCAAACATACTATGCTGCATCTTTGCAAATATGGTTTTTGATATTCATTCACTTACCTCAGTTTGACAACATGTGTTCTGATAAAGTCACTTCTTAAATTTGATTCTCGGAATGCATCAGTAATCTGTAGAAAGAAAATGGGCAAATATCCTCTTTGTAATTACAGTCTCTCCTTTCTATTTTAGTGCCTGTAACATGGGGCTTATATGATGAGAAGTAGAAATTTATCAGGTGAGGTCTGGTCAGTTTTATCACAGATAGCATAGAACTAATATAGGGAGATAGAGCAGCCTTCTGATGTGGTTCCTATTTCACAGTTATTAAGCAGAAATGAACTGAGCAGGGCATGCCTTCAATACAAATCACTCTAACTACATCAAATGTGTTACTTCATGAGACCTTATGATAGATGATTTTCTGGTTGTGAATGAGGTAGTTGGGATAAGACTCAAGTCAATATTAGGGAAATCCTTTCATATGACTTGATATGTGTGTGGTCCATAATGATCATGTTTTAAGTGGATGTAAACAGTTAAGGCTAATTTGATTAAGTCCAATTAGTGATGAAAAATCTGAAGGGAGGGTGAAAAGCAAAGAACAGTGTTTTCCCTGTTACTTTTTTTTTATTCTTGCCTAATCTACAGTCATTACTTATTAGCATTTGTTGATGAGTTCTTGACCTAAAAACCTTAGCTATTTCCTAGTAGGGGTAGTTGTCTTAGGTATAAAGTTCAGTTTCACAGCTAACAAGGAATACTTTGTCAGAATTCTCCTGTGGTACAATGTCAGGTACATTGAGCATTTACAATGGAGAATGAATTGCTCTCCCTTTCATGAGCCAGTTGACCCATGTATGCCAACATGAGATAGGAGAGATGAGGAATTAGGCAGCATGCTGGACTTTACATTTATCCAGGATTTGAAGTGAGCTCTTATTCAGCTGATAAAATTTATATGATTTTTATAATACCATAACTTTTAAATATAAATTCCCATTAGCAGTTTAATAGAAGAATCATTGATATTGACAAATTTGTTTTTCCCCATACAGACCTTAAATTTTCTTAGACAGTGAAACTTTAACCTTATTAAAATGATTCATATTTTCTTTTTAAAAAATTAAGGAAATACAGAAACTTTAAAGGAAAAGCAAAATGTACTAAATTATATAGTGTGACATGAACTATTTCTATCATTTAGTGATCTAATGTGATTTCAGTTATTTATGTAAAAAGACATGTTACTATGTTTATTAAGAGCTTGAATCATAACTGCTCCTTCCCAGACTATTCAGTAATTCATTTTATACTCATTAGGTTTTACATTCGGTTTTACTGATTTTTTTATGGAATTGGGGAAAGCCAAGTAAATACTGAAGAAGAAAGGATTTTGTGTTTTTCTAATAGTTGATAGTTTCAATACTTTTCATGTTATAGAATATTCTTCTTAGGAGACCTACTGTTTTCTGGAGGAAAATGGAGGAGGGATGGATCTGGGGGAGAATGGAGATGTGTGTGTGTGTGTGTTGGGGGGACTAGGAGGAGTGGAAGGAGGGGAAAGTGTATGAAATAAAAACAAATAAATAAAAAAAATACTTTAGCATTCTTACCAGTCATATTTATGGTTTTTAAAGACTAATGTGAATCATATATTATTTAAATAAATTCCAAAAATTAAAACATAAATAGCCATCACCATATAGTAAGTCCTATAAAAGCATTGCCCCATTTTTTGCCTTTAGAAGGGAAGCACTGTAGCTGCTCTCTGTGCGTTCTACAAATTACTTTCCCAGTCTGTTAACAGCTGAGGTTTGTTCTTCTGTTATCTGTGAGTTGAATAGTAGAGATGATGTGTTGTGGTCTTCTTTAACATCTTTTATCATATTTTTTCAGTGTCTTGGAAGTCAAAAATTTAGGAAGTATAGTTTTCGAGGAATAAAGGAAATAAGTCATGTGGTCATGTGATCTATCTACTGTAACACTGCTCTGCAAGTGTGTGTGTGTGTGTGTGTGTGTGTGTACGTGTGTGCATGTATGTGTATGTGTGTATGTACATGTGCATGTGCAAACTTTTTTTACTGCTCTTTATTGAGGAAATGGAGGGGAAGTAGTTCTGAAGGAGAGGGGAGATCAAGCAGACATAGGAGGAGAGTAGAGAGCTGAAACTGTGGATACGATGTATTGTGTGAGAGAAGAATCTATTTAAATTAAATTAAAAATATTAAATTGTAAATAAGACTAAGGTAAATCAAAAACAGTCACTTTCCCCCTTTAGTTTGGAGCATAGCTTTTAATAGCTGAGCCTTTTATTCCTTTCTTTAAGAAAAGGGTTGTGGTCCTTTAAGAAAAGGGTTGTGGAATTCATACTTCTCTGCTCTCTTTCTCCCAGTTCATTCCCACTGTCTTTGTTATAGGAATGCTACTATGCAAATTTTGAGGAAGGTAATAGTTCTGGTTTGCAGAGTCTTATTGCATCTTGTTACCACCAAGAAATGGCAATTCTTCTATTCAGTCATGATAGCCTGGTTTGAATGCTGATTCTTCCTGTGAGAATTTACTCTTCTATAGAAAGATACATAGATATATTAACTATGAAAGTCATGCATCAAAAATTCAAGGAAAAATTTATATATTATGTTATCAAGATGAAGTACGTCAAATGTAAGTTGGTATCGATGTAGGTAATGACTGATCTTGTGGAAGAGAGCAAAGGACAGAAGAAAGAACAGGGAGAATTTATCATGTGATAAAGGTGATAATAATATACATCATATGCATCAGAAAAGCTCCCCCCCACAAACAAACAAACAAAAACCCAAAACCCCACAAAAATCAAGCAAGACCTATTGAAATAATTTTAAAATGTGCTTATGGAGAAATGTTTATATAAAGTATTGTGATCCTATATGCTATAATATTTATTAGGTATTTTCAGTGTTGTATTTATGAATCCATTAATATTTAAACACATAAAATTAAATGAAGATGTATTTTTGAGGAAAAGAAGGTACTAGCATATATTTAGCTCTACTGTAAGAAAGGCATGTGACCAGGCAGTGGTGGCTCACGCCTTTAATCCCAGCCCATGGAGGCAGAGGCAGGTGGATCTCTGTGAGTTTGAGGCCAGCCTGATCTACAGAGCGAGTTCCAGGACAGGCTCCAAATCTGCACCAAGAAAGCATGTTTTGAAAAGCCAAATAAGAAAGGCATGTATGGTTATTTTTGTGTTATGGATGCAGTTTGCATAGGAAGGCAGCTCAGACCTTGAAGTGGTTAGTACTAGATGTGTACCACCATTGGGCTTTTATGTATGTTTTTTTTTTTCTTCTTTACATTTTATGTGTGTCCTGACATTTTTGTTTGTTTGTTTGATTTTTGAGACAGGGTTTCTCTGTATTGCTTTAGAGTCTGCCCTGGAACTCACTCTGTAGACAAGGCTGGCCTCGACCTCACAGAAATCTGCCTGCCTTTGCCTCCCAAATGCTGGGATTAAAGGCGTGTACCACCAACATTTGGGTTTCCTGACATTTTTACATGTTGTGTAGAATCTTAATAAAAACACTAAATTACCTTCATCTTAATGGTAAAAGGTATATACATAATTTGTGATTTATGTGTTAGAAAATGAGATTAATTTAAGGATGAAACAGTTTATGTGTCTATATGTATGTATTTTAAAGCACTATTTTGCAAAGATATATAGTATTACTCTGTTCTCTCACTCTCATGCCCTTTTTCAGGATTTGTGGATTTCTTATACCATTTTTTTTCCTTTGGCTTCTCTCAGTTCAGCGTGTGTTTGGTTAAGGTTGAGCTGACCTCACATATCTGACCTAATCTGTCTGGAACTGAATGACCCCATTAAGACATCTGCTGTGTCAATAAGAAGCTGGGTCCTGATCCCCACAGTGAAGCTTGATACTTTTGGTATTTAGCTAAGCACAGAAATACTACATAGCATTATTGTGTAGATAGGAGGACTTCTCATGAATAACCGTTTATGGCGATCTCTCTCCAGGTTTGGATCTTTGATAGCTCCAAGAACTTTTGGATGTTCGTGGGTTCAGCACCAAGCAGATAATTCTTAGTACAAATAATGTAACTAAACTCTCTAATTTTTGAGAATGATTCGAATGGAGAAAGCTGTAAGGGAGTATTGGTGTGCTCAAGGTGAGTTGTAAGTACAGTGTTTGGACCCTTATTTCTTTGCATTATACAATGCTGTTAGAGGCATCTTAGATTAGGTCGAGACTATTGTGTTATGCATGACAGCATTTTTTTTTGTGTAAGTATGATTTAATTACAGGAAACAAAGACATTTAATCATTTCCCTCTGCTAGTCCTGAATATTTAAGTGCCAAAGTAACACATCTTTGCATTATATATAGGCATGTTTGATTTTAAAAATTGCTGTTTAAATTGCTAGCTTGAAGTTAATTTAAAAAAAACAAAAGTCAAATAAAGTTTGGCTTGAGAATTTCCAATAGGTTTTAAAATAGTTCTGTGCTGGCCAGTTTTATAACACAGGATACAGTCATTTGAAAAGAAGGAGCTCAGTTAAGAACATGACTCCACAACATCAGGCTATAGGCAAGCCTGGGATTTCCTGATTAGTGATTGACAGGGGAGGGCCAAGTCCATGTGGGTGATGCCATTCGTAGGCTAGTGGTCCTGGGTTCTAAAAGAAAGCAGGTTAATCAAGCCATGAGGAGCAACCCAATAAGAAATACTCTTCTATAGCCTCCAAATCTGCTCCTGTCTCCAGGATCCTCCCCTGTTCTAATGATGAGCAGTTATATAGTGGTATGGGTAAAATAAACCCTGTCTTCCCCAAGTTGCTTTTGGTCATGGTGTTTCATCACAGCCCTAAACATGCTTTAGCATTTTGGACTGCTGACTTATGTGGAATGCATTATCATTGACAATGATCAAATTATTAATTAACCCAAAGATCTTGCAGATACTTAGAATTTTGTTCAATCAAATATTCAGCCAAGATTAAATCTTTTTGTAAAAATTAACAGTAATATCTATCTCATTAGTATGCAATATTTTATCTTTAATAAATGGGATAAACATAGACACACACACACATATATATGTATATATACCAACTATCATCAAGGTATATAAATTAACTATTCCTTTCATGGTGAACATATTTTTCTAGCATCTATTACTTTATGTGCATATTTGAAAGTTATTTATGATTTGATGTTAGTAAATGTTTGACTTGAGTCTCTAATTTGTTATATTACATACTGAGGAATACATAAATATTTCTTATGACAGCCTGGTGTGATGACTCCATCAGAGGTAGGCAGGTCTCTGTGAGTTCAAGGTCATTCTGGTCTACATTGTGAGTTTCAGGCCAGTCAGAGTTACATCATAGTGAGAATCTGTCTCATTAAATTAAACAACACACACACACACACACACACACACACACACACACACACACACACACACCAAACAAACAAAAAAACACTTCTTAGGACAAAAGGGGTCACAACTGGAAAAAGTTTAAGAAACTCCACTGTGTTGTGTGGTTACAGGAATACATGAATGTTGAGAGTTTAATAGAGAGGGCCTGATGGACAGAAACTGAAGCTCTTCAGTGAGAATTGTAGCTTGCTTTGTGTTTTACTGCTCAAACATCCATAGTTTGGCTCCCAATGAAATTCGCCTCTAAGTTGTCCAACAAGTTGCTTATTCAATTCTGCAGCAGTAATAGTACTCATTGAAGATTAACTTCTGATTCTCAGAGTGTGATTTGTAGACACGGTGTCAGTGCTATGTTGGAACTTATTAAATATTTGAATTTGGGGGACAGATCACCAAGATTTATTGACTTGAAGTTGAGTTGAGCCTTAATCTGAGGCTTAATGAGATTATCAGATGGCTGTTTCACACGCTTTGGGTTGATTTATATATTTAGATCTTTCAAAAAAAAGGAGATTAGGGTAAGTGAGCATCCTTAGACTGGTCAGCTCTATCCCCAGACTGAAAGCTACCCAAGCTTTCTGCTGATGGATAAATGCCAGGGGATTGCTTGTCAGGACAGGGTAAGTAGATAGAGATGTCTTTATGCATGAGGCTAGTCTATCATCACACCAATATGGTATCCTTGTATGGTGAATGTATATTGTGTGTGTGTGTGTGTGTGTGTGTGTGTGTGTGTGTGTGTTTCTCTTTGTAACAGCCTTGGTTGTCCCAGAGCTTGCTCTGTTGACCCGGCTGGCTTTGAACTCACAGAGATCTACTTGCTTTTATCTCCCAAGTTCTGGGAATAAAGGTGTGTGACACCATCTCCTGGCTGTGGGCTGTGAATGTATCTTTTAATAAAAACCCTATCTAAGACACTTGGTAAAAATAACTTTCATGCAAAAGGATTTATTTGGCTACAATTCCATGTTAGTTACAGTTTATCATTCTAGAGAAGTCAGATGAAGAACTTTATGTACACATCCACAGTCAAGGGCAGCAAGCAAATTAATCTGTGCATGCATCTTGTTCTTTGACCACTTTCTCTACAAGACCCGAATTCAGGGAACAGTTCCACCCACAGTAGGCCTGTCTGGTCTCATCAGTTAGTGTGATCAGAACAATTATCCACTGATAAACCTATTCACCCCCCTGATCTAGATAGTACTTCATGAAGACCCTCTTGCCACATGATTCTAGGTTGTATCATGCTGACAAAAATAGCCATCATGCTATTTTATCATCCTTAACTTACTTATATCTGCAAAATCCCTTGCATATATCAGGGAGTATGTGAGAGGCTTTGATACATAGAACATATACATTTCTGAGGGGCCATTAGGCTGTTCGGTACATTTCTTCATCAAAATATTATCAATAAATTACCCACATTGTCTCTCAATTAAAACAAAACCTTTACATGCTTACTTTACATGCTTACTTGAATAATGAAAGAAAAGAAGAAAGAGTGAAAGGAATATAATAGGGTAATCCCAGTACTTAACCACACAAAGACTTTCAGTCTTTGAAGTCATAATCAAATAAAGTCCAAATTTATTTATGGCCTTCCTAACCTTGTTACAATTATGACTGATGAAAATGTGACGAAGAACCACTATACTGGCAAATTAAATTAACTCGGAGAAAGCCACTTCTCGTTTCTCAAGGCAAGGGAAGATGCAGAAAATCTAGTGACATTATTGTATGAAAATATTATCATCACATTAAGCTTCTTAGTGTTTTTATTTTATGCAGAAATAAAAAGCAAAGATTAGTATTAACCTACCATAGATTCAATTCTTTCACTCAGATGCCTGTATTCCTGTGTAGCCGGGGAATTTAATGCCTCAGTGTATTCAACATTTAGGATTTGAAAGCTGCTGTGGTAAAAATAAGTTTTCTTGTCTGAAGAAGAAAGGAAGTCATGATTACTCTAGTGCTACTAAGCAGATTGATTTTCATTTTGTACAGTATTATTAGAAGTTATACAATTAAAATAGTATTCCTTAAGAGAAAGAAAACTCCATATATAATACAAATGTATCAGGTTTATTTTCTTTTGAGTTTTTTAATGATTGACAAATCTAAGATTATTAAGGTAAAAGAAATTGGACTAGAAATAATTGGCTCTTTCAAAGTTGTACAGAGTACAACTAATTTTTATTAGTAATATGCCTAAACAATATTTTTATTTACTCACTCAAGTAACCATTAATAGATATCCATAGTATGTGATTGTTCATTGGTTAAAGAAAAAAACAATTCAAGTAATGGAAAAGTTTAAATTTTTCAAGTACCCTTTTTATAAAATTACTTATTTTATGTGTGTGTGGTGTATGTGTATATGTCCTGTGTGCATGTGTGTGTGCATGTACGTGTGTGGTGTGTGTGTGTGTGTGTGTGTGTGTGTGTGTGTGTGTGTGTGTGTGTATTGATCAATGCAAAGTGTCTTCTTTTCTTTTTCTCTGCCTTAGTCTTTTGAGATAGGGTCTTCTAATGAACCTGGAATTCATCGCTCTAGTTAGACTGCTGGCTGGAAAACCCCAGGATCTGCCTATCTGTGCCCACTCTAGTTACACATACATAAATTGGGCCCAGAGTTTACATGTTTGCGTGGGCAGTTGACACTTTATACACTGAACAACCTCCCCAGCCCCTCAGGCAATAATTTTCATAGAGAAATTAGTGATTTGACAATTTTCCTGGAATATTCACAAGTCTTGTCTGGCTGTCTATTGTGAGTTTTTTTTTTTTTTAACCAAAAGAGTCTTCTATAATAAATATTCAGTGTAAAGATGTGAAGAATCCTTAAAATACACATATGTGACTTAGGAAATTATGAATATGGATACAACTTAGCACAACCTCTTGAAAAAACCCCTACTTCCCTCTGATCATTCACACATGTCATTCATAGAGAAGTAACTATAACAAGAAAGAGCTAGCAAAACTAGAGGTAAAGAAGTTTGTTTAAATTGGGGTGGGCAAGATATTTTTATTTCATAAGTGGTCACTAGGATAAGATTTGAATATGATTACCTGGGTGCTTCTTCATATTTAGTGTGACAGTGTGGTGTCATTACTTGTGATATTCATTAATTTAATACGGAGCTCAATGGTATTTCTTTTTCCTCCATCTATAATTTGTTTGAAGGTTAACTTCATGTAATTTGATAGTAAGATGTGACTAACTTAATTCAGTTATAACCTTTATGTTTGATTACCTGAAATAATTATTCCTCATTACTGGTTTTCTTTAGTATTGATATTTTTATTTTCAACCAATTTTGACTTTTTATAATAAGACATATAATAAATTGTGTTTTTTCCTTTTCTATACATATTCATACATATTTATTTGCACACCATACATGAGGTTTAACATAATTATTCCTAAGATAAAATCAAAGTGTATTTTAAGGGAAATGTTATATGCTATCTAATAATGTTTTCTATATTAAAACCTCTGAAATAATATTAACTATTATATTATTTATATTATTATACAATTTATATATATATGATTCATTTTGTGTATTAAAACTTCTGAAATAGTATTTATGAGGATTTTAAAGGAACCTCTTTATATATATTTATGTATATATTTCTTACATTAATTTTTCTTATCCATGCTATCTAAATCAACTAATGATATAATATAAACTATTTTAAGAGTTAACTAATACTAAAATTATATATTTGATTTAAAATTTGTCATTACAGCTTGCTATTTCTCAGCAACAAACTTATCTATTGATCATACTAGTTGCTTAGCTTGCAACACTGCTTTCAGGAGATAGTATGGGTTATCAAACACTTAGTCACATCTGAATTTCATGTGTTGAGACTCAGTGTTGTTTGCAACATTTTACTTTCATGGTTTTATCAGGTTATTACATGAAAAAGGCAGTCTTAGTGTTAACAAAAGCAAAATCATCAAATGTCAGCAGGAAAGAAGTAGTGAGAGATTTTATTTTTCAGTCTATAGTGGTTCTTATCTGTGTAACAATGTGTGTTATATAAAAAAGGTAGGCTTTACTTCTAGGTGCCTTCCTTCTCCAAGGTCTATTAGCCATTGGGCTATGAGGGCAAAGGGGACAGAATCAACAAGCAAGCAAGCAGGACCTTGTCTGGTCTGTAGTAAGATGGAAAGTGCCTTCCAGGAGACAGCTTCAGGGTTACAGCTCAGTTTTATTCCCAAGTGAGAGGAGATATAAAGGCTGGGGACAGTGTCTGGGCATCATCTAATTTGCATTAAACAGCACACTACTGTACTACTGTCATAAGGCTCTGTATAAGGCAGCTGGATCCTATAGCAAATCTGCTTACATGATTTCAGATTGCCATATGAGCAGCAGGGGTGAAGTTTCTGCAGGTTACTGTGTCAAGGGTCACACTAGAGATAAATCAGGCATCCAGACCTAAAGGCATTCTCCAAATAAGGTCAGGCAGAGAGCAGGGAACCTCTGCCTTGGAGAGGGCATGTGTGAGTCTGGTAGTGTTGGGGGATCACCATGTTGCTGAGCTTTGAGACAGCTGCCAGGCCATGGTAGACTGCAAACTCTGACCAGTAGGATCTTCCAGCATTTATTATTGTTTAGTTTGGAGTTTTGAGGGGGTGTTTCATACAACCCAGGATAGCCTTGTATTCTCTATATAGCTACGGATTACTTTGAATTCCTGTTTCTCCTACTTCCACCAGCCAAGAATTGGGTATATTTTGTGTATTTTAAAAATTCAAAGCATTACCCACCTCCTCCCGAAAGAACAACCAAGCCAAAATACCCCCACAAAAAACAACAACAAAAATCCCAAACAAACAAACAAACAACAAATCAAAATGCTCATTGGGAAGAAATATATATATATATGTATGTATGTATGTATATGTGTGTGTGTGTGTGTGTATATATATATATATATATATATATATATATATATATATATACATATTTAGAGGAGAATTCTAAACAATATTACATCATGTTAAAAAAGAGATATAGTCATAAGAAGAAAGACTATGTTTTAAATCTGAGACTATATTTAATTATTTAATCTGAGTGGTACTTACCAAAAGCTAAGAAGTGAATAAGTAGACCTATAGTCATAGCCAGGATCAATACTGTTGTTATGACAATGAAAGCCACTACAAAGGGACTGAAGAACCTTGACTGTGGTGTCACTGGTCTTGGCCTGAGAACAGGAATCAGAGAAAAGAAAGCCACTCAGTTCACTTGGAAGTACATACTGTGTGTCCATGACTGACTTTCTGGGTCTCTTAGCTTGCCCAAGAATCTGATCAAAGAAGCTTAGTAAGGAGTCAACCCCAACCCACCAGGATAGGATGCTTGATGCTCTTAATACTTTTCTTTTCAGGTTTTTTTTTTCATAGATCTGTTGACTTTTTGAACTTCTGACTTATGGTGTAAAATTACATTATCTTTTTCTACCAGTCAGTGTACTTTTTTTTTTTTTTTTTAAATTATTATTTGTGCTTATGAGAGAGGGTCTTACTATGAATCTCTGGCTGGCTTGGAATTGCCTGTGTAGACCAAGCTGGCCTGCACTCATAGAAATCCACCTGCCACTGCTTCCTGAATGCTGGGACTAAACATATGCAATTCGATGCCCATCCCACAGTTGGTATGCTCTTAAGATTAGCCACTAAAGATTTTGTTATTCTGTAAGATTGCTCCCAATCTTGGTACTATCACAGCAATCCATTTTAACTAGTGCCATAAACAAGGGTGTGCTGAGTAGAGACCACATTGAGGGTGAAGGAAGAAAGAGGAGAATGGTGGGGTGGGGTGGGTTTGAGAATTAGAAAAATAACTTCCTTCAAGATGTTACTGCAAGATGTTACTTCACATTATTACCAATGATGATGTGGATAAGGAAAGTAGCAAGAGCCAAGTGGTTCTCAATCTTCCTAAAATTGCAACCCTTGAATACATTTCCTCATGTGGTGGCCCCCAACCGTAAATTTAATTTTGTTGTTATTTCATTACTGTCATTTTGTTACTGTTATGAATCATAATGTAAATGTGATAGATATGTGGAATATCTGATTTTTGAACACTGGATTAGAGCCTCTCCAACAACAGATGATGCATATGATTCATTTTTTCCTTAAAACTTCATAAACTGCACTATAGGTTAACCAATTTGTATGAATATACTATCTCATATTACATCAGGCATATCATTCAGAACAATCTGATATACTGTCTCCATCCTTCAGGAGAGACATGACCATGGACACTCCCATGGGGAAGTTGCCAGGATAGCTTGTTTGGGTAGTCATGTTGTTATTTACCTAAAGAACTGGAAGTAACTGTGCCTATCTCACAAGGCTATTTGATGATAAAATGAGGTTATATAAGACATGATAAAAATATATCTAGTTAAATAGGTTAATCTGTGAATTCTTTCAGAATAGATATTTTCATGCTATTGTTTCTGATGCTATAGACTCTAGAGGGCTCAGGAATACTTTGGGGTTTGTAAATATTTATGATATTTATGAATACTTATTGCACATGTAAACTCCTGGGTATGTTTCATACTTTAAAACCTTAACAGAACTGGGACTCAGTTACATTCAGGTAGATTGTAATCTGACTTCCATATTTTAAAATTTTTTTCTATTTCCCTTTGGACATTCTGAGGTAAAAAAGGATTATTCTTTCTTCTACTTTTTTTCTTTCTTTTTTTAATTTTACAAATTTTTATTTAAATTTGAAACAATCTTATTTTACATGTCAAATTCCAGTTACCTCTCTCTCCCATCCTCCCATGCCTCCCACCGAACTCTCCATCCTATTCCCCATCCACTCCTCAGGGAGGGTGAAGCCTCATTAAAGTCTGCCAAGTCATTTGCCTGCAGGGCCTAGGCTCTCCCCTGTGTATCTAGACTGAAGGAGTATCCCTCCATGGGGAATGGGCTTCCAAAGTTCATTTGTGCACTAGGAATAAATACTGGTTCCACTACCAATATTTTAAGGTGATCATTTGTTTCTTGACTTTAGGTTTCAAGGCAGGATTGCCTTGCAATGCTTGAATTATATCCAGATAACAGATTCATAAATGGTGCTCTTCTCCTCATAATACATTCTCTGTATATCATGTGCTGTGGATAGGATCAGTGACAATTTAGAAGATGAAGGTAGATGTATATTTGCTAACTTGCATTTTTATTGTAAATTAAAAATATAGTCCTTATCAAATATATTATTTAATAGCTTTACCTTTCTAATCAATTTTACTTCATTTTGTTGCACTGGTGAAAACTGGCTTTCTGAGATCAATAGTTGGGAGAAAACTGCAATTTTGACATAAATGTTAGCATCAGTGAATTCACTTGTCATCTCAGTGAATTGTTGTTCTAGTTATATCCTACAATGGGCCACAATATCTGGGTTTTATCACATACAGACAGCTTACCTGAACAAGGAGGAGCTAATGGCCACTAGACTGATAGCTGGGAAGCCAGCATGGGACTGACTCAGGCCTCCCTGAATATGGGTCTCAGCCAGAAGGATTGAGCAGTCTAAGAGACCTCAGACAGTGGAGCCAGGATGTATCCCTGGTGCACAAAAGGACTTTGTGAACATATCCCCCATGGAGGGATAACTGCCTTAATCTAGAGAAAGGAGAGAAGCCCTAGTCCCTACTTCACATGACCTGTCAGATCTACATGATCCCAACTGGATGGCATTGCCCTACATATGGAATTGGGGTGGGGGGATGGGAGGGGAAGGTGGTTAGAGTGCATGTGAGAGGGCAGAGAGGGTAAAAGGGAGGGAAGAATGGAGGGAGGGAAGGGGGGAGGGATGGAAAAAGGGAGAGGGAACTAGGATCGACATGTAAAATAATAAATTAAATTAAAAAAATGCTTTGACTCCAAAATTTAAGTTGAAGGACAAGTTACTGGGGAAAAGGATTTCTATTTTTGTTTCCACAGAAAATGAAAAGATGTGGATTCTTCCAGACTAATGTGGTTTTATCAAGCCAGACTGCCTGAAACAGAGTACAAGCTGATCCTACATTCAAAACAGCCTTACAGACTACAGCCAGGATTTCTGAATCTTCATAGAATCCCCCATGACAGCGCCCCTTACCAGCAGGAAGTAGTTTGGAAAGAACAATGCCCAAATTCCCAAATATTGTGTATAAATGTTTGTTTTCATTTAATTGGACTTTGTTATATAAAATAAATTTTAAAAATCTGGGTTTTATGAGCTCAGTAAATATTAGTTATTACTAAGCAATAAGAGAGAAAAGCCAGGGTGAACCCCCAAACTCTCCAATGGGCCAGCCTTGCACAGATTAACTATGGGCAGACTGTATTTCTAGAGGTGAAATCTGGTATGGAATAAGGGGTAATAAAAAACAAGGAGTAAGTTAAAGGTCAGCAAAGCCTGACCATTAAAAACCAAAGGTTGGGTATAGCAGAATATCATTAGTAATCATTTTATTGATATTTTTAGAGCACAGTGTTTCGTTTCACCCTAGATCTCTGGTCTATCTAGTCTGGTTTGTGGTTACATAGGCAGTGTCAGGTATGGGTTTGTGCTCATGTGCCTTAGATCAAATAAGACATTGGTTGGCTACTCTCACATATTCGCTGTCACCATTGTCCTAGCATATTTTTCAGGTGGGATAGATTGTAGGTCAAAGATTTTTGTTACTGGGTTGGTGTACATGTTTCTCTTTCAGTAGTCTGATAAATATCTTCCCACACCAAAGAGATAAGAACATAGGGGTGAGGACTCTGATGCCTTCCCCAGTCATCATCAGAGAGCTTGCTCTGGCAGGGGATGGGGACAGATGCAGAGACCCGGACATTATGTGGAGACAGAGGTTAAATCAGAGATCTTAATCAAATTCCTATCCTCAGAGCTTGTGAAATCCCATAAAAGAGGAGACAGAGAGATTGTAAGAGCCAGGAGGGATGAATCAACCAAGCAAGGTACATATGAGCTCAGTCACTGAAGCAGCAACCAAGAGCCTACATGGGTCTGCATCAGATTATATAATATACATTATAGCTTTCAGCTTAGTAATTTATGGAACTTCTGATGGTGGGAATGAGTGAGAAAGAGTCAGATCTCTGCCTCTTGTACCTACTCTTGGGAAGAGTCCAAAAAGTAGTAGTTAGGGTGCTGTGTCCAACTTAGATATGTGTTTTGCTTCATCTTGTATTTTGTCATGTTTGGTTGTTGTCTCTTAGAAGCCTGTTCTTTTCTAATGAGAGACAGAAAGAAAGTGGATCTGGTGGGGAGGAGAGGTGGGAAGGACCTGAGATGAGCAGAGGGAGCAGAAACTATAATCAGAGTGAATTGCATGAGAAAAGAATCTATTTGAATAGAAGGAAAAGAATACAGCAAAATTTCTAACAAAACAAAACAAAACAAAACAAAAACTGAAGATTGGAGTCAGCAGAGGCTTCAGTTTGGATATGCCTCACCTCCCATAGGGATGATTTTGAGCCAACTTTGCCTTAGTTCACTGACAATATCTTAAACCGAGGAACTGAGAAGCACCATGAGACGTATGATTCAAGAAACAAAGGGAGTGGTGCCTAAATTACCTTAATCTCTCAAGCGACATTATGTAAAAATTGATTGTTCCACCCTGTAGAAACAGCCAAGGAAGTATCTGCTATGTAACTTACAAGTTTCTGCACACTACTGATTATAAAACTTATGGTAATTCCAGATGAACGGTAAGCTTCGTAAACTTACAGGGAGTATGTTTGCAATAATTTGTTTGAATTTTGACTTATAATGTAGTTGAAGTCTGTGTAAGGAAATAGTTTGCTTTTATTTCAGAATCTTAACCAGTAAGATACTAGGTGCTTGCATTAAAACAGAAAGGTAAACATTCAGTTATAATATGATCACTACGATTACCCAACTTCCTTTCCCCTATCTAGTTGCCCTTTTAATAGCCATGTTGTGAAAACCTTTGTGTCAGACATTACACATGTGCACAGGTAACTTTCAAAACAGTTTCATGAAGTCACTAGTAGAATCCATTCTGAATATTTGGAAAGGGAGGCTGAGAAAGTAAATTCTTCTTGATCAAGCATAAGAGAGCTGGAAATGGAAACCAAGGAGGTTTCTATGAAAGAACACAAACTTCCTTACATATATGTCCTAAGTTACCATTACTTGAGAGGACAGAAAAATGCTGTGTTTCTTGTATCTCTTGATCTCATTTTGAGAAAAATAAGGGTGACCAAATCCCTTGATTGTATTTAAAATATCCTGAATTTTGTCTTACACATTGTATATATGTATTTTATTGCATAGAAAATTTGTAATGCAAGGATTGATTTAATTTCATTTGAAAATATTATATAGAAATATTAACTTCTTCCATTGATAAATAAATGTGCCTAATATTTAGCTTTGGATTAATAAATTTGAGAATTAATTCACATTGCCTGCAAGAATGAAAGATCTTAATGGCAACACTTATTAAATCAGACTATTTTTCATGTTGGTGAACATTATGATATGTATTAGGCACTTAGGAATTAGAATCATTTTGTCCCTTTTGGCTATGTCTAAATACAAAAGGTCAATTCTTATTCTACTACCTAAGTCTTTTCCTTTATAATCTCTGTATCTTAACTCTAATTTGAATTACCTCATTATTGATATGTGAAATACTTTTTAACTGGTCTCCTTGATTTTATAACTAGTTAAATGTTTAATTAAAAAGATTTGGTGAGAGTCTATACTGGGCACACAATAAACAAAACCAAAACAACATATTAGCTGCAATGAGTTAAATGTTATTGTTCTTTTAATATTCACGTATTGAACTCTTACCCTCCAAGATGATGTGGCATTATAAGGTAGAGTTGGTGGGGGTGTCTAGGTTATGAAGAGAGAAAATACACTGACGGCATCAGTGTCCTGATAGAAGATCTCATAGATCTTTCATGAGAGTTTCAAGGCTATGATGAGAAAGTGGGCTTCCATAACTCAAAAAAATAGGCCCTTAACAGATACAAATCTGCCAGTACCTTGATGTGAACTTTGAGACTTTGAGATATAAATTTCTGCTGTTTCTAAGCTACCTATTCTATACCACTGCTTATTGCAGCCTTCATGGAATAAGGTCTAACCTTGGTGACAGATGTGACTAAGATAGTGTATAAAGCAAAGAATAAAACAGGAAGTGGAGAAATGAGTTTGTGTGAGGTGCTGAAAAGTTAGAATAGTCAGGAAAGACCTACAAAAGAGGTGACATTTGAATAAAGATGAGAAAAAAGTGGTAAAGTAGATATGAAGGCAACAGAAGAGTGATCTAGATAGAATGGGAGGCCCTGAACCTGGATCTACCTTGTTGTATTTTAGGAATAGCAAGGAGGGAAGATCAATTAGACTGATGTTCACGTGCATTGGAGGGTTGAGGGAAAGGGCAAAGGAAAGTATAAGCAGATACATTTAGAGATACTGGAAAAGAGGGTCATGTCAGAGACAGTCATTTGGGTCTGGGCACATTATAATGGTCTCCATTTGAGGGAGACAGGTATTTGAAGTTTTGAGAACAGAAACAGCATGAGATCTGTTCTTTTAGTAGTCCCTCTTGTTCCTGTTAGGGAGTAGTAGAGAATTTATGTTATCCAGAATTCAAGGTAAAAGATAAAGGTGTCTTAGATAAGATGGTGAGTGGCCAGTGGTCAGAGTCTAGGCATCTTTTAAATTTTGAGTGTAGAGAATTTGGGGGTGATTTTTCTGAAAGGTGAATATAGAATATTTACTTCTTTCCAATAAATGCCTGAAAATACTTTTAGGGATTTTTAAAAAGAAAAATCTCCCTTTTTCATCTCTCATTTGAAATGTGTTTGGCTTTAAGTTAGCATTTGAACTTTTTATATGACATTTAAGCTACATGATGGTCACCCTTGCCATTTCACCTTCTGCAGCATCCTCACCTACCTGTACAACTTTAGCCTGACTCAGTGTCTGTGTGTGATACCTTCCTGGAAAATGTATTTCAGTTACCTGGCTTCCTTATCCTTAAGGTAACTCGCACATCATTCTTCACCACTGAGTAGGTCTCTTCTTCCCCCACTGCTAGCATCATTTAATCTCATAAGGCTTGGTGTGTTTTTCTCCTCTCTTTTACAAGTTCACATATCAAGCAAAGATATTGCTGCCAGTTTCTGCTCCCAGAATACTTGCTCATGAAGTGTGCCCCCAAATGTTCTTAGTCTCTTTTCTAGTACAAGACTATGGAACTTACATAGCCATTATGACTGGGAAAATCAACCAATGACTCTACAAAGAAGATTTTAAAAATAATTTTGCAGTAGTTTCTAGGAACTTTTAAAAATTAAAGTGCTCAGTGTGCATTCTATCTTTGAATGGGTTGAGTACAAATAGAAATCAGGGAACAATCTCTCCCAACTATTAAATGCTCACCATGTGCCTGTGTCCTGGGCTTCCCTACATTATTCCATTTAATCCTCATAAACATGCCCTTGATAGATGAGGAAACAGTAGTTTATGGATTAAGTTTACTCAGCTAGTAAGTGACAGAGCTGTCGTAGGAATCTGGGTTTGTCAAGTTTGCTTTGCCAAGGTCCACATCAGATGGGAGGAGAGTTTCTGCTAATTATATGTTGTGATTAACACTCATCACACTCGCTACCTCTATTGTTGACATTAAAAGATGAAATAAAATTTGTATTACATGTTGGAGTTTGGAAGAATATAAGAACTATGTCCAAAAGAAAATACTTTATTTCAGTCAGTCTCAGCTCCAGGCTGATTTATTTGCCACAAGGCAGGCAATGGGAACTATCCAATGAAGTGGTTTACTTTTTACTTTTTTTACGTTAAAGAATGCTTTGTTTAAACAAAGTCTCATTTGGAAACTCAGTACTTTAAAACAGCTCATAGAGAATCTTCTTTATGGAAATAGGATGTCTGTTCCCTCTTGTATGAGTTGAATTCTTTCATTTGTTTTCTGTTCCATTTCCCTTGATAGCCTTAAGTACACATAGAATACTCTGTAAAAAGAAAGAAGGCAACTCTCCTCAGGATTGGGTAACTTGATGTTAGCCAGCCCTGGAGTCATGGTTTGTTGATATATTTGCTTATAGAGAATTCTCGGTTCATATGGAAAAGAAGAATTCTATATTTGAATGAAAAATCCATATCACTCTTTGTTAATATCTATTTTCTTTTAATCATTTGTATTCTTATTTCTTTTTATATTGAATTGCATTTAAATCAATTTCTTTTTCTTGAGGATGTAAACCACTCTATACACCTTAAATGTATAGGAGACAGGAATGTATATGAGAGCCTTTATGTTTTGGGAGAACCAGAAAAGGCAACTCCTTTAAAGCCGTGTCCTTTAGGTTGCAAATGGCTCCTCTCTGAGGCATTCAGCTTGGCAGGGAACATAGGCTTCACTTTAGCCCCCAGTCTTCCACTGAAAAGCCACACATTTTGTACACTGACCAAACTGCATAGCTACATATAGAAATGCAAGACACTGTTCAAATGCATAGCTAGATAGAAATGCAGAACACTGTTCAAAATGCACAGCTAGACAGCAATGCATGAGTCTCCTGAAGATGCTGCTTGGAGAATTAACCTTCTCATAATTACACAAAAGACAACCATGTATATGTGTTTGTGTGCATCACAACTCGTGTGTGTGTGTGTGTGTGTGTGTGTGTGTGTGTGTGTGTGCGTGCATGCATATGTGTATGAGATGAAGAGAGGGGAGGGTAAAGAGAGGGGAGTTGATGACAGCTAATGAATCCATGCTACCCATGAGCCTTGGAATATGAGTTCTGTTGCTTCATAGGCTGGTTAATTTGGCTTTCTGGAATTCAGTGTTTGGTCAAAATAGACAAATTGCTTTACTCTTAGGAGGGAAATAAGTGCCTTTTGTTTAATGCACAAGATATGCTTTCTAGGCAGTTCTTGTTTTGAGTAAATTATTTTCATATTCTGGAAGTTCTTTGGCATGCTCCTCTAATTATAATATCATCATTATTATATAATAGAACTGTGTTCTGTAGAAGTTAATAAAAATATTTTCATTACATCCTAGTTTTTTTTTTAAATATGTATATGGTGCATGTATATAATCACCTGATATATACACACAGCCATTAATACACATGTGGAGGTCAGGGGTCAGAAGAGGGCTTCAGGTGTTTCCCTTTCTCATTCTGTATAGAGTATGTCATTAAATCTGAAGGTCAACATTTTTACTAAACTGGCCAGCAAACTCCTGGGATCCTCTTGTCTATCCCTTCAGCTTTGAAGTTACAGGCACTTGCAGCCATGCCTGACTTTAAATAGGTACCAGTGATTTGAACTCAGATTCTCTTGTTTTCACAAGTTCTTACCCACAGAGCCATTTCCTTAGCTTTGCAATTATTTTGAGGGATATGCCTTAGGCTTATAAAATAGCTATTAAATAAAGCAATATTGTAGACTAAGTTCACCACAGTGAGTCTAGTCTGAGAAGGTCTTGGGACAGAAAGTATCTTTTGTGCCTTCTTATCTTGGAGTTAGGGCTTAAGCTTTGAAAAAGAGTATGAGAAGCCAAATTTGACTATAGTTATAATTTGACTGGATTAAAAATATATATGCATTACATAAACTTCTAGATGAAAGTGGTTGGCCAGGGATACATGCAAATACTGCTCAGTGTGTAGAAAATTTAGACAGCCATAAATTAATAATTAAAAACACAACACCATGGTCCTATTTTACGTATGCGAGTGATCAATGATTCAAGATAAGTGAAAGTTTACTGTGGCTTACCAATAGACATGAAGGAACCGTGAATTTTGCTCCAAGCTTTTTACTAGCAAATGCTAATTCTTAATATAATAACATAGTGATGAATGAAAATAAACTAAATGTTCACGCTCAGTGCTTAGGTATGTGGTTATTTAAACAGTAGATTGAAGGACCACTCCTACTTCATTAAACCATCAGTCAGTAGGGGATTAGCTCATGTACTTAGGGCATGGTATAATGAGCCTAAAGTCAAATGTTTAATTTTGCATAGATTTCCCCCCCCCCCACTTGTCCTTAGCTATAGGCTGGGCACTCAGCACTCATTCCTGTTTTTTTTTTTTTTTTCTTTTTTTCTTTTTCATATAGGAACTGCTTTTATAGTAATTCTTCCTCTCTACCAAAAAAGAAATGGAGCAGTATAAAAAGCATGGGAAAGACATTGAATTGAGTTAGATGGTCTTCAAACAAAGCTTCATCACCTATGATCTATACTGATCACTCCACTGAAGGTGTCAAACTGAACTCCACATGCTTTCCTTGTGGTTTTTTTTTTTGCATATTTTAATACTTCCAGTTTCTTCAACAATGAATTTGTTGATGCAATTCTGTTTTTCAGATATCTTGGAAAACTGGATATTTGTCTTGAAATGTTTTGCCTTTTAATTCTTAGTTCTCTGGAGAATCACTACATACAGGAGTTTCGGAATCAGCCCCATATTTCTTTATAATTCCAATGTCATTTCCTACTTTACTTTGACCTTCTGTTTCACCTCTCTGGTTATTCTGGCTAGGAATACTAGGCACTCCTTAGCCTGGAGCATTCTTGCCTTATTTAAGTTGTAGCTTGTTTGACATCTCTGTAAGATCTTCAAAACATTAATTGCACTTTATTATTCTGCAGAGAACTGTTTTTCGCTGGCACCTGTACAATTTACTTATTTTGTTGTGTGCTTCCTTACACTGTTTTAAAAGCTCCTTAAGGACCAGGGTAAAATTTTTAATTTCCTACTAACCTACGAGTAATGCCTTTATTTTAGAAGACAATGTCCCATTGCTCTGGCTTTTCTTTTCCATTTGAAGTGTCTTTTTAAATTGAAAAGCTAACAAATTGTTTAGTTACAGCCCCTCTCTAAAAAGCAAAAAGCAAATACAGCCCTACAAACCAGGTGGTAAAGTAAATGTCTAGACAGTACATTCAAAGCTGGAAAGATTAAAGGTAAAAATAATAAGACAAAACAAGCCCTCAAGACCAGTTAAGGAAACCCAGCGATAAGCCAACAGTTTTGTAGGCTGATTCCAGAGGTCAGAACACATCTTAAAAACTCCATTCAAACTTCACCTTGTCTTTTCTTGTTTCTGACCAAGGGTCAGGAATCATCCTTTGTTAATTCTATGGCAGAATGCCTACAGTAAGTTGTCTTATTTACAATGCTGACTTTGAAGAGTTCACTGAAGTTAACTAGACAATGAACTAGCCAGTAATTGCTTAAAAGAGAGAAGAAAATCCCCAAATTCCACTTCCTAGCAAGAATGCATAGTTCCTTTGTTATTCAGAGTAAAGAACAACAGAAACTTCAATGTAAAGCCCAGGAAAGGCAGCTTAGGAATTGACCTGTGCTGGAACAGCATGTAGTGAGGATCAGGCTGTATTGCTACATTCATCCATGTGCAAAGGTATTTGCCCACTGCTCTCTAACAGTGGGTATTATCAGCACAGCAGTGCAACTAGCAGTTGGAACAGTCCTTCTGGAGTTACAGACCCAGGCATGGCATTTTTCCTTGCACCACAGTTGTCTTTGCCTTCCTAGCATCCTTCTCCAGCATATCATTCATGTTAGGTATTTAAGGACTTTCAAATATGTTAAGGAGACTCCCCCTTACTCACACTGGCAACGTCTTGCGTCTTGCAGGTAACATCAAGCAAACCTTTGATGTCTAAGTAGGTTGCAGCAGAATAAGTTAAGAACCATGTTCCTTAGTCAACTTTCATGACTTATTGATCCCAAATATCAGTTGTCCACTTTTCTTTGTTTTTAGCATTATCAGGAGGAGGGTCATCCTTGTGAGCATTGAACCACTTGAATGACTTTTTTAAAAAAATAAGAATGGGGGGATGGGATGGGAGGGGGGTAATGGGACATGGGAAGGAGAGGGAACTGGGATTGATGGATTGATATGTAAAATAAGAATACACACACACACACACACACACACACACACACACACACACAAAGAATTTTTGAATTTGATGGTACAGCAACAGGTTCATCATCTCCTTCTCCATCCTTTCCCAAATCTTCTAACAGGATG